TCTTATGTTGAAACATAAAAGGAACACATTAGAGAGTTCAACTGGTTATATGCAACTTCCGAAATTCCCTGTAACAGCCTAAAAATTCAATAGACAATTAATAATAACGGAGTTGTAGAAAAAGAGACTGCCACATTAAACAGATAAAAGTCACTCTTCATCAATCAGTGGAATTATTTTGTATCTCTTAATTGCACAGCAAATATTTCAAAAATAGGGTAAATAAAATATTCGTCCTCCACAAATTTAACTTTTAGAGTAAAAAAGGGAGTCCATAATAGAGTCTCGCAGGATAATAAGATTTTATAGTACCCTGCAAAAACTCCCTTCTTGTTATTTATTTGAAAAGTTAAATCTCTTTGGCGTTACACTCCCAAAGAAAATTTACAAGTATCTTAAGCCCTTGTTGCTATAGGTTTTATCAATTAAGTCAACAGGATTCAGCTGTAGTTTAACTATTAGTGTATGGCTGAAGAGAAATCAACGAACACAGTGTAGATCACAAGCCCAGATTTTCCTGTAGTGTCTTAATATACTAAGAAAACCAAATAAATGTAGCGGTCTAGAATGGTAGTGTGTCACTCTGTATAAAGCTTTAAAGTAAATGGAAGTCTTAATCGATAGATCATCTTGAAATAATTATTAATACTTACCAGAGTTTCATATGAGTAACTAAATTATTTTTTCGAATGATTTAATGACATTACTAATTGTAAACAGAATGATCCTTTGGCAGACTAAAGTATTCGCAGATGTGGATAGAAATGAACATTTAAGCAAATAGAACCACTGGTGTACATATTTCTGTTGTAATTATTTGTAATAGTAGTATTAGTATTTTGAGATGACCGAATTACAAGAATCCAACCAAAACACAGAGAGGGCGGAATTCAGGAATTTGTATTTAGCGGAATTATAATGCAATGCATATAAGAAACATATTAACAATCAACAGTAAGTATTTAAACAATACAGAGATAGAAATAGTCAATCACCACATCCGCCACACGTCGAATATCTCCTTGCGTACTTATAACGATGTCTCGGTTTGCTTGTAAGTAGCTGCGACCTTCTAACTGATTCTGTGATATTATTTTCATCAGTATTATCTGGACTTATTTCTGAACTATCTACAAAATCAGGATTATTAGCGGAATCATTAAAATAATAATTGGAACGACCTACTTCATTTATTGTCACTTTGCCCAGGTGTCTGTTATGAACTGAGTGATCTTTGATGTCTAATGTCTTCACCACTCGATTTCCCATTTTTTGTAGCATGATTCCAGCAGAAGGTCTATAGTCATTCCCTTTGTAATAATGTACATTAGAAGTCGTGGACATCAGATGCTTTTTGAGAATTCGAGATTTGAATAGTTTTGCAGGACTTTCACGGGTACTTGTATGCTCTGCATTCAACAGACGTAAACTATGCATATGCAGCAATTCCTCCATTTTAATCAGTTGCTCTCTCATCTCATTCAGTTTTTTCCGTGTTTTCGACAGTTCACATTGTAAATTATATATATATATATATATATATATATAATTTTACAAATAAAATACAAATATAAACCGATCATGGTGTTTGTCTATAGGATTATAAGATGGTGCATATAAATTGTGCAATTAGTCATAATAGTAGTAATGAACCTTTTACGCAGCATACCTATGTTTGCCATTCTCTAGCCGACGAATGATTGGGACACAAGCGAAGGATAACCTAGATAGTTTTGCGACATCTATGTGCACTGATCAATTCAACTGCACCTGCGGTGACAGTTATGTTGGACGTAATACTAAACTGCTTGGTCAACGTGTTAGTGAACATCTCCCATCGTGGTTTGACAAAGGATGGACAAAAACAATCCATAGCTCAATCGTGTCACATTTAGTTGATAATGGCCATGTAGTGGAGAAAACGAGAGCTTTCAAAGTAATTCATCGTATCCCACTGAATCTTTCCAATAGACTTCGTATTCATCTACTGCACACAGTTGAGGCAATAAGCATTCGAACTATCAAACCTAAACTACGCATTCAAAAGAAGTTCGTACAGCCATTATCCCTCCCTTAGCCTATTAAAACATAACCAACTGGACTTCTACACCACCCCTTACTTATATTTTCAACCCCTTTCTTATCATCCCTTAATCTTATCACATCTTCATTAATAACGTGTCTCATTTACTTCCCTTACAATCTAGCATTACTCAATCGGTTCATTTGTTTTTACTAGCCTTTATCGACTACTTCCACCTGAACATTTGTTTGTTTAATCATGCTGTTTTTTCATTATTCATGTTATCACAGATTGCCCCACTTTTTCATCCTTATTATTGATAAAACCATTATTATTATTACTATTATCATTACTACTTTTATGACTAATTGCACAATTTATATGCAGCATATTATTATCTTATACACAAAACACCATGATTGGTTTATATTTGTAAAATTATATATATTAGAGTTAAGTCTGATAAGATCTAATTGAAAATAACATTGTTTGCTTAAATGTGTTGTTATAAATTTAAATTCAGTTACGTTAGTGGACTATAAATTGTCCTGACTGGGTGGCCTTCAGTCCAAATTTAAACAAGAGACGAAAGTTGTCTGATGAGATTTTTTTTTGTGCGTCGGTGGCACAGTGGTTAGGACTCTTGCCGACCATGCACATGGTCTGAGGTTCGAGCCCACGCCGGCGCACACCTGATATCTAGGGTCGGCCTGCAAAATTTGGGCTACCGATATCCATGCTGAAAATTCCATACTTGTACCGAAAATACAGCGTGGAATCAAGCTGTAAATCAAAAAAAAATTCCTATTAATGTAAGAAAAGCTATGTGAATAGGGTAGTATTCATGAAACCAGTGTAACAACAAAATAGATTATTTGGATATAGAATAGAGGTGGGAGAATAAAGTGGTTTGTTGATGTAAAAGATTTTTATATAACATTGAATGCTTTTATGAGTTATAACGGAAAGACTATTGGCTGCAGAGAAAATGGTTAGCACCTCGTGGTAAGGTGTAAATTGGTTAAGAGGAAAATAGTACAACAGGACAGTTGAGTAACCTTTCGTAAACGAAATCACTATCCTACATTTCAGTATGTTCCCTCACGAATACTGAAAATTTACATTGTTATCTTTACCATTTTAACTGAAACTAATAATGTTCTTGACAAGAATTTACACTACACTGCTATTATTTATTTTGTACTTCTCTATATTACTTGCAGAAATCAGTGGAGGTAGTCACCTGAGCGAGAAAAATATAAACGACTTCAGAAAATACTCAGAGGACAACATAGAAACTATTTCACGTTACCAACACCTAACGGAAGAGTTCTCTGGGAGTGGACTGCACCACTACCTGACATAATCCACTTAGTGTGCCGATATCTCGATAGCTGGTTGAGCGTCATATCTACTCATATTATTTCAGCTAATTATCGGCAATTCGCTTGTCTTTTGCGTTTATAACCAAACACTATGGGTCATATTCAGTCCTGTTATAACCACTCATTTAGTTAGTATTTTAGCGTATTTAGTTTTTTGTTCATTTAGTCCCAATATAGGTGTAACGAATTTTTGGTTCCTTGTTTATAGTTTAAATTCTACATCTTGTTATATACCTCTTCGTATTTTACTGTGATACTATTTATTTTACTTTCTAATGCAGTTCTTTGTAAATGTGATTGGCAGGACGATGAACACTTTGATACTTTGAAAGGCTTACTTGGTAACGTCATTAGTTATTATTTTTATATTTAGCACAGTAATATGTTTTAAAATTTTGCGCACAATCTGAGTATTCAGTTTGAAGTAATTTTTTTCACTGAAAAATACGGAATAGACTTATTAGTTACCGTGTATGTGTTAAAATATATATGTCACACAGTGATGTAAGCAAAAAGCTAACAACACTAACTTTCAATTTTCAATAAGCATGCAGTGTGGATTGTCAAATTTCTTCTACCCAGTTCTGGAATCTATTCTTAGAGTTCCGCTCAATTGTCTGAGACAAATATTTTGGATTTTAAAAACAAGACGGGGGCTGTTAATAAATACTTTGCAAAAAGAAAGATTTACTATCTCTTTATATTGCGTCAAACTAAAAAATATTCGCAATACATATTATGCTATGCGAAATATTCTAATATGAAGTTGTTGATGCGTACAAAGAAGTAAAAAAACAAAAACAACTAAGAGTTATGATCACTAAACTTCTAGGGGAAAATGAAATCATAAAGAATTTAGGTGGTGGGGTTTTCAGAGCAAAAGTATTTCATCATATTATACACGTCAATAAAAGGTTTCGCAAACTAAAAAGGAGAAAAAATGCAGGAGTATTTAAAAAAATAAAATATTCTGTATAACTATATGTGGAAGCACAGTTTGGTGCGCATCAGTTAATTACACCCAGTAAACAATATATATATATATATATATATATAACGGTTTCGCAAATTAAATTCCTTTTACGAAATTACACAAATAAAAACTATGCATGTGAAAATGAGTCAGGGAGGTTTACAATTTGTAATATATCTGAATAATGTTAGAATAGAAATTAAAAGAAATCAGATTTTCTTTTAAAGAAACAGGCTAAAAGTGAAATAAAAGGAGGACATTTCTTTACATTCATAAAAAAAAACACACATCATGTATATTTATTGCATTGGAAAGGTCGATATGTTAAAGTATTGCTGATTTTGAATTTAAATTAGTAGTTTAGATAGATAGTAAGTTTATGCATCTGAATTCACCTGAAAAAAGGGGCAAAACAAATGCCACCGACAGTTACCTGATAAACAAAATACTTGAGAATGAGAATCTGTTATATATATATGCGTTCATGAAAGCCCTTGTGGTGGTAAGAGTAATTTGCACTGAAGGCTGTATGCTTCGTTTGTAACTGACGTCTCCACAGCCAGCCGGTCACTTAATTTATCCAATGGTTTAGGATCCAGATCTATAATGGCACAGCTGATTAACATCCTAGGGATACAACAACAGCTACTTGAAATGACAGGAAACGTTGACGGACAGCTTCAATGAGAAAAAAAACGGAAAGGACACAAAACAAATGATATGACATTTAAGTATAAGAAGAAGAAATGAAAACAGCATTAAATGATGCATACACTGAGAATCATAGATAAGTAGACTTTGATACGACGAGTATTTCTACTGAGAATTTCTTTAGTTTGCAGAGACAGTAGAATATACCCAAGCTTCTAGACGAATACAAGGTGGCAACATTAAAAAAAATACCTATCAAGGGATGCAAGACCCATTTCAAGTGTAAGCAACTGAATACCAACATTTACTATTCGTTTTCTAAAAGGAAGCAAAAGTGATTAATTTGGCATAATTCAATGAATCCATTGTACTTTTAAAATATACACAATTTAGTATGAGTTATCTACAGGAAGTGAATAATATACCAGCACACTGGAATGTCAAACGGGTTTACAGTCTAGAAGAAGAAAACATATTGAGAGACACTTAAAAAGGAAAACACAAAAATATAACGCAGGACTACCCGAATAGAAAAAGGGGCACGAATTCATCTTTAGAGTCGGATACCTTGCAGGCAGTTAAGGGTTCGCAGATCTTAGAATACATACAAGAAAAGTTGAAAGCCTATCCCTAGTAATAGCCTATTGCAGCTCTTTTAAAAGGTATGACTGATATGTCCGTGTAAAAATGACGGCAAAGCCATCAGTTGAAGTAGCTACTTATCGTAACAGCACACTATAAAAAATGGGACAGAAAAAGAATGACACCATACTGGTCATATATAAGCTGGGGAAATGTTTAGAATTATGATAATAAAGAGAGGAAATATGTGCATTGGCAAATGTCTATAGTGCAGCACGAAATGCTTGCTTTTTCGCAATTGCCTGCTTTGTTAGTTTCATTACGTTTAGTTTTGTAGCATAAAACAACACATATATTGAAAAATACTCCAAGTTATAGATACATAGTTCATTTTCAACTTGGTCTTTCTTGAACACTAACTTAATAAATATATGTTAATTTCTAGACTGATTTATACAGATGTAGCTAACCGGTCTTACAATTTGTCCCTAAGTCAGTAAGTGTTCCGAGTTTGAATGCCGCTTCACAGTCTTCAGCCGCCTGTGCTGTAATACTGACTAGATCAAAAGTTTGGCTCAGATTAGATTAGACTTTCGAGAGTGACACTGACAAGATAGATCATGTGAAAGGGAAATGACAGCTTGTGGACAGTCATTGAGCCAGCTGAAGGTGATGTCAGATAACAGAAAGAAGTGCAGGTATGTCTCTGAAGTCCTACATTCCGTTCGGAAAGCAAAGAATGAGTTATATTATTATTATATCCTTTAATTCCTAGAGGAACATAGGGCTTCAGCCACGCGCCACCATTGCCTTCGGTTTTCTGCCAACTTTTTCCCCCGCTCCAAGTCTGCCGACACGCTTCATCACTTCTTCACACAACCTCCTCCAAGTTACTCTCACGCTAACCACCAACTCGCCGCTTCCCTTTCGGGTTCCACTAGAGCGATGGCTTGTCTAGCGATGTCACTTGATGGTTTCCTCAGCGTATGGCTAATCCATCTCCATTTCTTCCTGCCTATTTGTTTCACAATCGGTTCCTGCTGTGTTGGTTCGCTCATTGCCAGAGATCCGTGTTGCTGATGTTTTCTGGCCGGCCATCTGATCTTGAGTATTGAGAGAAGACAATGCTGTTGATGAAGGTCTGAAGTTTGTTTGAGATGTTCCTTATGACTCGCCAAGTCTCTGATCCGTATAGTAGCACTGACTTTACATTGAAGTTGAAAATCCGGATCTTATTTTTAATGCTGAGTGCTGTTGACCTATACAAAGACTTAAGAGTAATGAAAGCTTGTCTTGCTTTTCCGATTCTGGCTTTGATATCCTCGTCAGTTCCGTCGGCCTGTAGTTGAGACGATGCTTCCCAGGTAGGTAAAGGGGGTTGTTTCTTTCAGGTTCTTCCCACTTATGCTGATTGTTGTCTGTTGTTGTTGTTGATGTTGGCTAGGAATCTTCAGCATCTCTGTTTTATCTATGTTCACGTGAAGTCCTATCTTTGATGCTTCTTCTGCCAACTTGTTACTTTTCACTTGCATATCTTCCAGTTTATGGGAAATCAGACATATATCATCGGCGAAGTCCAGATCCTCCAAGTCTTTTGTGTGAGTCCATTTTATGCCTGTTCCCTCGTTGGTTGCCGTTGTCTGTCACATTATCCAATCCTACTGCAATCAGGAAGATCATTGGCGATAGTAGACAGCCTTGCCTTACTCCCGTCCTCACTTCGAAGGCTTCCGTAAGTTTCCCGTTGTGGATTACTTGGCATGCAGCATTGTTGTATAACTGTTGGATATAATTGTCGATGGCCCTGTAGTAGCGAACTAGTTGACAAATCACCTCTCGATCGACGCTGTCGAAGGCCTTTTCAAAGTTGATGAAGTTGAGATAGAGAGGTGACTGCCATTCAAAGCTTTGTTCAATGATGATCCGTAGTGTGGTGATTTGACCAATACATGACTTGTTGCTCCTGAATCCAGCTTGTTCCGGTCGAAGTTTTTCATCCAGGGCTTATATATATATATATATATATATAACTAGCTAACCACCTGTGATGATTTAGTCGTGGAATGGACTTCGAGAAAATGATACTTTTTGCCTTGTAAAAGCATATTCAAACTCTGTCATCATTATCAATAACAAACGTGTATAAACTCGCCGAAAATGGACAGTATGAAATTTAATGGGTTCATTATTTTCCGTATTTCACGATCGTTAACACTACTGAAAGATCGATGGGCGTAATACTGAAATTGCAATGACCACAAACATTTTCAATCGTACTGTTGTATGCCTTTAGTACATTTTTATATCAACTGAATTACACTGCAGAAGACACTTTGATTTACCCACTGAAAGCGAGTATGTGAGAGATGTAGTAGTCGTAGTTGTTGTTAGAACTCGAATGTGGAACTTATTGATTGGAAGCCTAGTGGTTTAATCAACACACTACGTCTTCTATGAGAAAAATGTTGTAAAAAAAAAGGAACAGATTTTCGCTTCATTTCTCTATCTACTATAAGGTGAATAAGGTTGGTTAACTTTAGACATACAGAAATGAAAAGTGAAAGTAATATGTGCATTAAAATTTAAAAATAATTCTCACTCTAATTTTGCACGCTGTACGGTAATCATAATTGAACAATCACGAGCAACCAAAGAGATTAGATACTTTTCAACCTAAATGTTAAATAAGTAGTTTAAAACACAAAAACACTTTCAGTCAGTTTATAAATCATTACGATTTGAAACAACTTTAACAAACAAATTATCAAGAAAACAAAAAACAAATTCAGCGAAGAAAATTTTCTTTATCGACAAAATCATCTTCAGAGGCTGTACAGTCGTATTTATGCTTACAAAAATATATAGTGGTCTATTATTGAGTAATGGGGGTTGGTGAAATAATCGATATAATTACTCAGAAGTGGCTTTAGAAGTGAAAATTAATAGTTGTAAATTACCTGGTACTCAACGGAACAAACACAGAAATTTGATAAGGTTCAAATTGCTGTTGAGTGAGAATAGAGGTGGTAGTTGAGTGTCAATTTAACAAGTATGAAGAGAGTGTAAAATGTACAGAAGGAGAATATGAGAGTGATAATAGTGAAGTAATTATTAAAGCAAAATCAAACTAAAAATAAAATTAAAAATCGAAATTTTTTACAGGGAACGATTAGTGAAGAGGTTAAGACCAAGATAGAGTAAGAGACTGGACAAACGTTCTCTGTACACAGAGTTCAGTGTTGTATTGACGAACTGCCAGCACAAAGACCGAAACCTGACGCCCTTTGTACCATTTGGCTTCACTTTGTAGGTGATCTTGAAAGACGACTCTGGTGGAGCTACGTGACTTGTTTACCAAATGCTCGAGAATTGAGCTAGTAATTGCCTTGCATTGTCCCTTTGCTAACCATGTCGGACAAAGTGAAGCCAAATGGTACAAAGGGCGTCAGGTTTCGGTCTTTGTGCTGGCAGTTCGTCAATACAACACTGAACTCTGTGTACAGAGAACGTTTGTCCAGTCTCTTACTCTATCTTGGTCTTAACCTCTTCACTAATCGTTCCCTGTAAAAAATTTCGATTTTTAATTTTATTTTTAGTTTGATTTTGCTTTAATAATTACTTCACTATTATCACTCTCATATTCTCCTTCTGTACATTTTACACTCTCTTCATACTTGTTAAATTGACACTCAACTACCACCTCTATTCTCACTCAACAGCAATTTGAACCTTATCAAATTTCTGTGTTTGTTCCGTTGAGTACCAGGTAATTTACAACTATTAATTTTCGCTTCTAAAGCCACTTCTGAGTAATTATATCGATTATTTCACCAACCCCCATTACTCAATAATAGACCACTATATATTTTTGTAAGCATAAAAGAACTCTCGCCGACCATGCACATGGTCCGGGGTTCGAGCCCGCACCAACGCACACCTGATATCTATGGTCGGCCTGCGAAATTTGGGCTACCGATATCCATGCTGTAAATTCCATACTTGTACCGAAAATACAGTGTGGAATCAAGCTATTAATCAAAAAAAAAAATGCGACTGTACAGCCTCTGAAGATGATTTTGTCGATAAAGAAAATTTTCTTCGCTGAATTTGTCTTTTATTTTTCTCATGAAATAAACAAGAACTTGGTTTAACCTTAGTATAACCTACAACAGTGTTCATTTTGTATAATACTGATCACAGATGTAATCATAATATTAATAATAATAAGAGTGGTATTCATTGCACTTATATAGTTTCGTATTTTGTTGATAATGCATAGCGACTGAGTCAACAGACACTTTTTCAAGCAATCTGGAAAATATTCAACTTCAAACAAATATGAGCTTTACTTATTCTCTTTCATTTTGCAAACTAGTACAGAAATTAGTGTGAGCAGTTTACCAATATGCAGATTTTTTTTCCTTCACGTTCCCAGTGGAACATAGGGCTTCAAGCTAAAGCCTTGAAGTTTCTGTAGCAGTGTTTTTTATTATTTTTACAGGATGAGGTTGCTAGCCTCATGCCCAACCTTTCCTCTTTACCGGCCTTTCATTACTGGTTTGGCGAGGTAAAGGAGTGAGTCGGTCGGGTATCGAAACCCGGACCATGTGCATGGTCGGCGAGTGTCCTAACTTCTGTGCCACCGACGCACTTAATATGCAGATTATAACACTTCTATTGAAGACGACCCAAAAGTTTTGATAGAGAACGTCGGTGGCACGGTGGTTAGGACTCTCGCCGACCATGCACATGGTCTGAGGTTCGATCCCCTGCCAACGCACACCTCATATCTATGGTCGGCCTGCAAAATTTGGGCTACCGATATCCATGCTGAAAATTCCATACTTGTACCAAAAATACAACGTGAAATCAAGCTGTAATCAAAAAATAAGTAAAATAACGTTTTGGCATCATTTAAACAAGCAGATGGTAACCGCCCCACTTCATCATTCAGTTGTACAATGATAAATATTAGGCATCTGAAAGCTATCTGAACAAACTCAAAAGTATTCAAAGTACGTGTATGAATTATAGAAATATGGACTGAGAGAACCAAGTAACTTAAGTAGTAGTGCACTTTTAAACATCTGTCTATATATTGATTTGGGTAGATGATATGTAAAGCTTAAATGTGGAACCTGCTTTATTTAATGCTGGACAAAATATGACATCAAATTAATAAGAAGACATTACATTGTATAAAAGATACCTTAGTTAGTAATAGAGTTAAAAATGAACACAATTATACATACAATCCACTCACAATATCAAAACTTTCTGCTATTTCTTGTGTCTCGAGGTACATTGACGTTTCGCCTTCTCTTGCTAATTTAAGCCATGTGTCCCTAAAATATATTAAAATAAATAAAACAGATACCACTAAATATTGTAATTAAAGCGTAGTGTATAAAAGAAGATAGAGTACCATTTATGGAGAATTAATTTCACGATATTAGTAACACATTTATCTGGTTGACAATATGCGAAATCTGTGTGCACACACGAATGAAAGATCTGCTAATCAATTAATAGTAGTCATTTGTAGTTGAGTGCGTTTAAAAGTCACACTGTGTATAAAAATAGCAGCATTTTACAGAAGTACATACACTAACACGACGTAGATTTATCTTTTTATCGGTTAAAAACACATCTGCAAGATATGAGAACTTTTAAATTAGCACAGTAATATGTAATAAAGTGATTAAGGTGAAGATTACCATATTTTGATTTGCATTGAAAACAACATTAAAAAGTCAGAAGTCAGTAAGAAAATCACAGTTTGCAAAATGGCGTAATAAATTACAAATAGATGACACTGTTAAATAATGACGCCACAGAATAATTCTCATGACAGTGTATGCCTATTGTCAACAAAGAGAAAAGTCTAGGAGTTAGTCAGTTGCAGTATCTATCTAAAATGTTTAACACCTAAGCGTGCAGGTTAGTTGTGTGTCTGGCAGTCGATTTTCGAAAGTATAAGAAACCAAACCGGATTTAGTATTCTGATGTGTGCGATAAGCAAATTGTTATCAGACCTTATGCTCTAATAATCACTAGTGTAATTTAGTTATAAGGCTGATATTTTCCACTTCGTAAGATATAAGCTTTACATTTTATAAGGCCAAATTATGCTATGAATATCAATGAAATACGCCTCATTTTCATGTGCTAAATACAATAATTGAAAGTTTTTAAACGGGATCGTACAGGAAAAGACGAATAAGAGGGACAATTTAAATTCATTCAAATTATATACTTTTTTTTGGCTCATGAGGAACTGACAAAAAGTCATTGGAGAAAAAAAATCAATAAAGTATTACCAAAAACCAATAAGAACAAAGAGGTCTTTGTTACACTAATAAAAGTGTGTTTGGTTGTTCGATTAAAAAACCGGATAATTTCTAATTTAGATTTCACTACATATAGATATCAGTTTAAGAAGCAATGTAAGCCAAACGTCTTCTATAGCTGTTTTGTTCAAGTGTGTTAATCTTCAGTAGTATGTATTCAAGACCTCTCCCACAGAGAACGTACCCAGAACCGTAAGGTTGTAAGGTAAACCGATCGATATCAAATCCTTACCAATGTATCATTTGAATATTAGAGTCAACTGTATATTACTGACTTAGGGGGTGTTCTGACTAAGAGCAGTGCCTGGTAGAATCTCCAGCGTTCAGTGTGAAGCTAAACAATCACTAATACATCCAAAAAGGAGTAGGGCTATGTTGGACATTGGCGTCAGCTGAAATTTATAGACCAATCAGTGGCTGAAGAGTAATGTGCACTTTATGCAAACTGAAGAACATTACAATTCGACTCTGATGAAATTAAAAGCGGCGTATTAAAAAAAACTGTTTTCAGTGTTTATCTAAATAATATCTGTTTGTGAAAACACCTACATGAAAATTAATTAAATCCTTAAAAACCCATTATAGGTCTGAAAGACTTGGTATCTGTAAAGTGATATTTTCGAGTTGTTAAATCTTCATTGGCTAATGTGAAATTATATGCAAATAAATTCGCTTCGAGCAAGATATCACGTCTATCATATAAAGCGTTCATTGTTAAACAATAACCTGGAAAAGCTGAGTTTCGTAAAACCAATACAACAGAATGCGAATTATTTATTAACGGGAGACAATTACATCTCTTGAAATGTTAAACAATATGATATTTGTAGACATGCAATGATAGCTAGCATCTCTATAGTGCGATATGGACAACTCTAGGAAAATCACGTGCTACAGTAATAAATAGAGGCGTAAGGAAAAAAAAACAATACTGGAGAAATGGAGTGGACTGCTTGATAAGTGGATGGGTTGGTATTTGACAAAATGTTTCCTTTATTCAGAATTAAAAGAAAGAGAAAAATATACAGCAATTGCAATTTGTTTTTGCTACATCTATAACAAGCCACGCGTTCTTTACGATATTGTTTTATTTAATAAAGAGGGATGGTTTAAACAAGCGAAACGATTTCTACAGTTTATTGTAAAGCTTGCTTTGTATGGCTAGATCAAATTTACATTGTGTCAAAGAAGAGAAAACACAAAACAAAACAATCTTTTTTTTTCTATTTCTTTGTCAATAAGTTAACTTACCATGTCAGTCCATGAAATGCTAAGAAAGAACAAACACGCTCATAATGTGGGATGATAAAGCTAATGTCCATTGAATTCAACATCTGCACTGACAGAATACGTTGTAATATACAACCTTCTGGCAGTGGCCAATTTCTCTGTGAGTATTCACAAGATGAATTAGACTTTTCTGCATCTACATACACACATACAAGAAAAAGAAAAGAAAATATACAATGCATAAACAATCATTTACACGTAGTAAACACAGAAGTTATTATTGGCAAAAGTGAAAGACAAAGTTATTGTTGAAAACCGATAGTTGTGAATATCTATCTATGTGAAATTATTATGGAGAAAGGCATCTAAAAGATAACTGTTATAGCTATCAATCGTGTGCATGAAAAGTGAGCCATGATTATTTATTACACAAAGCGAAAACATTGAGAACAATACTGATAGGATCAAAGGAATTAATTCTTGATTATTCTACGGTTGCCGCGTAATTTGACTAAGGTAGTTCTTAGAAAAGAAGAACTATTTTGAAATATTCCACAAAATCAGTAGGAGGTTACTTTACAGAACTATAAATGTCTCAACTATGTTTGTTTCAAGTGTTGGTTTGCAGGTATTTGACTGGTTACAGGATTTTCATCATGAGCTGACATTAGTTAGAGAATCATTGGAAAACCTGAGAGTACTGGACAGCTGCTTCACTCTAGTTTGGGACTCTTCATCGGTATGCACCCACCTGAGTTCGAACCCAGGGCCTTACGATTAGAAGGGAGCTTACAGATCCTTCACTGAGGATGAAGTGCATCATGCGTTAAGCAGTAAAACGTTCGCCAGCCACTCATGTGGTCTAGTTTTGATTTCCAGCCGTCGCATTCGTAAACACCGCCTAGTTTACTGGCCAGTGGTAAGCTTGGGAAAGTTTAGTGTGGAACTAGCAACCCTACCCTGTAAAAAACAAGACTACTACAGAAATTCCAAAACCCAAAGCCCTGTGTTTCCCTCAGGGCACAAAGAGATGAAATAGATATAATTTAATACAATTCCGTAGTATTCGTAGAATGATTTCTTTGGACCATTTTCAAAGTGCACTGATAGAAGCGAACATAACATATCGTGAAGAAAAGAGATCATAACCCTTTCTCTTCGCCAAATAAGTGAAAAATGCTTACAAAAGCGCCACTAAGCGATGATAATGCTACACTGCACTGCATTATGTAACAGTTTATTATTATAAGAAAAAAGACTACTATTCCACTCTTGTCCCACTTACTCACCTTCAGAGTGTAATGCACAATGGAAAGATATAGGCTGATGTTCGGCTGCATTTACTGTTGAGCAATTCTGTATAACATCGTCTGTAGACTCGAACTTATAAAACAGTGCTTCCAATAAGGTGCCACGTATCAGTCGGTCGCGATCATTGGGAAACTGGCACGCATTGGTACTAAAACATAAGGATAATTATGCAAACCTTTAATCTCTTTATTTTCATCGAACTGATTTAGATAAAGAAGGTGAGCGACTGGTTATAAATCAGGCTAAAATAATTTTGTTGGTAATGCCCCTTTTACAAAAAACTCAGACAGGAGGGCAATACAGATTGGTAATTTTTGGATTTCAGATGTTAAATTTCTTTGGATTTTATTGACTTCAATGCACATCTCAAAGTAATATTGTAGGCAGGGGATTTCGTGAAACGCTTGTATCTTTGTTTGACAGTCTTCAGCAAATGAAAAACTTCGAGCTAAAGACGATTAGACCATGAGAAGAGAATTTTTCTACTTGCCAGTAAGTTAAGTCCTAAGGTTCAATAGTTTCCAGTATTTCCCGATTCTAACAAACTTAATACCTGAATCTCTATCACCTGCTCATTAGGGACTGGCTTCGAAATAACCTGCTTGATTTTTAAATGAATTCATAATTCAATTAATCAAACCGGGAAAGTGTGAACAATAATATACGCTAATGACATAGATTAGGTGTTTTGGTATACTATGAACACCGATGATTAATGTGTTCCTGTCTTGCTGTCAATCAGGTTTTGTTTCCCACCCCATATATACATACGTAACAAAAGAATCTATCCCAAGTGTTTTTATTAACGTGTACGACTATCCTTAAGGCTAAGAATGCAAAATACCTCAAAGTATCTGCGGAAAATGGCCATGAAAATCCTTATTTTTCTCAAAAATGATGTCCAAAAAGGAGATAAACAATATGACTAGGCTTGATCAGAAAATGAAGACTAGATTCAAAATATTTGCAAATATGCGTCAACTGTATCATAAGTAATTGACATTCACACGACATACGACGCATGAACTTGTAAAACACATTGTTTGAAATAATCTACTCACAATGACTGTGGGTTTTTTTTAATATAAGACATTGAGGTCTGTGGTTAACAGATGTTTTAAAAATTGGTTCAAAGAAATTAGCGGAAATAGATTACACGTTCAAAAAGACAGTATAAAAAAAGCTAATTTTAAAGTCATCTATCTCTACATGATAGGAAACGTTCGTTAGTAAATATTTTATCTTTCTTTCTTCTTTGAAGTTTATTGTGGCATTCAGTCTTTAGATTTACTGCTTAGTGATTCACCAAAAAACAAGCAACCGATGAAAAACAGTTACTCTATTTTTATATACGAATTTCCAACTGTTATATGTAATACAACATAAATTAACTTATCCTTTATAAAGGGAATTAAGCTTTTATATTTTATATATTTTTATATTTTTGATTTACAGCTTGATTCCACACTGTATTTATGGTACAAGTATGGAATTTTCAGCATGGATATCGGTAGCCCAAATTTTGCAGGCCGACCATAGATATGAGGTGTGCGTCGGCGGGGGTTCGAACCTCGGACCATGCACATGGTCCCAGGTTGTGTAATGACGCACTATAAACGATTAATGCGAAACATATTGAATTTCAGCTCAAGCTATCCGTACTGTGTTATAGTGTTTGCAAAAAACTATGAGAAATATGATTAGGATTTACTTCTGAGTATAATTCAAATACAAAATCCTAGAGGATACAACTTATGTAACTTGATCGCATTCGCAAATTTTTTCCCCTACAGGGAAATCACTAATATTGAGCTTCTCCTTATGCAGTGAGGCTAAACTGACTAACTGACTGAGTTTCAACACAGAACTAAGCATAGAAGTGCAGCAGTTCAAATTACCACATCTCATGTAGCATACAAAGGTACAGAAAAGAAAAGAAATTAAGAAGAATTATAACGATCAGGAATGTACGGGAAGAAGAAGAATTAAATGGAAGAATTTGAGGATTTAATGAATCTATAAGGTCACAAAGAGTGGATAAACCTGTCCCAATGAGAGCGACTTTAAGCCATGTCACCGGCAGTCTCAAACCATTGAATCTTAGCATCATGAGGACCGTAACCAGGTGGTCTACACCTCCCTATGTGGCTCAAACCAACTGTCAATGACTTCATGGACTGATGCCAGATTTCGATTTGATCCCCCTCCAAGCCTTTCTCAACCAATCCAATGTCAGCTAACACTGCTCGACAAGGAAGACCACGGCTTGACATGTGTACCACATGTCCTAGCCATGTCAAGAAACAAAATGTTTGACAGCACGTTTCGGTAAATTGTTTTCACACGAATACATCTCAAACTGAGAGTAGAATTCATTATCAGGGTCTTGCAGCCGGGTAAGGCATAATTGCACGGAGATTGTAGGACTAATCTCCAGAGTACAGTGTTGACTCCTGAGCAATCAAGCCCTACTTAACACAAATTTTGAAATTCAAACAATGGTTTGCACTTATGTCCATACTAATATTAAAAATATATTATACGAAATAGCGCTATCTTGGTATATTAAACCAATCAGCTGAACTGATCATGAAAGGCAAGTGTGAATGGATGCCACTTTACTTTCACTTATAAGTCTGAGACTTCATACCGACAAATTCAACATGGAAGGCTACGCGAAAGTCAGTTCTGCTATTTAAAGATGTAGAGAGGAAAAACACTTGGTAAAAACACAAAATCGAAGTACAATAGAAATATATGTGAAAACAAATAAGATATAGGTAAGATAAAATAAAAACCTTTAGAAACTTATGATCAGTCGATTTTTACACATTTTTACCATGAATCTACGGCAAATGGTACTTAAAATTCCGACTATCTTACCCAAGTAACAAAGACACGTGGCTGATACAACTCAAACGAACAGATGTTTGATAAATTGGCATAAAGTTCTCGTCTGACTAACTTTATCTAGTCCTGATTCTATTTTGTTTCCGAGTGTGTGAGTTCGAGTAGTAATTGTCGGCGGGTAAAGTATGCTTTGTCGTACACTCACATCAGAAAATGCGTCTGATAAAACACCTTTCTCGGAAGTGCCTATAAATCAAGAAATATGAAAAGTGCTTGACAAACTGACAGAGGACGTCAGTCTTTTCAAATCACAGTTTATGCGTATTTATAAAAGGAACATGACATCAGAATGGTATCAAGCCCAAATATACACTTACTGACTACATGTTCCTTCAGGATAGAAACCATTGGAAACTTTATTTTCTTCACTAGAAGAAAATACACCCCGCTCAAAGTTGAAGAATTCGTGTAAACCATAATCTAATTTATCCACGTCATGAGAATAGATAGGATGGCTGTCCTAAAACGGTAAATCAATAAAATGTACAGAAGTGTTATCAATGCATTTATATATATATATATATATATATATAAAGTGTTTATTTAAATATGCAACATGTGAAGACTTATTTAAAAATCAAGAGAACTCTAAACAAGGTGAATTCTAGAATTAATTGGTTTTTCGACTTTGTAAACAGACGATGGCAGATGAATTCAGGTAGTATACTAATGTAATGTATCGTGAAAGCTATTCAAAAGACCATAGTTGGTCTTCTTCAGGTCTATGTTGAGTTGAAAGTAATGAACGATGAGAAACAAAACATCAAAGCCAAAGAATAGGAGTTTGCTGTTAATCCACGCAGAATATTATCACATCAGATGCATCTTGATGACTGAGAATCCTCAACGACTGACAATGAAACCTTATAACACAAAAAAATACCTGGAAATGAACGATCATTAAACTTAATGACATCAATTTGAAAATACATTTTAGTGTTTCTTCATAAAACTCAGGTCGTTCAGTGATAATAATAATAATAATAATAATAATAATAATAATAGTAAAATCTACAATAGTTTTTTGAAGTAGTCGTAAGTCAATCTCTGGCGAATGAGTTCTCAAGAATCCAGTGTTCAACTAAAATTACCCATGAAAAGAATTGAGACTAAATTACATTTACAAAAAGAATAGAAATAAACGACATCGCATGAACACATGGAACAAAACTTGTATTTACCTACCAAATAAACGCGGAAGTTGTTCTGTGGAGTTGTCATGAGAGCACTCAAACCACGCACAAGTCGATCACGATCACTGGATAGTTAATGTTTTATAAAGAAAGAGATCAAATGTAAATCAATAAACATCTGAGTAGTGTGAGACGCTAAAAATCAATATGAAAAAAGAAATCCCCCTGAAACATTAAGGAAGTTAATTAATATAAACAAGACTAGCAACTCTGAGGATATGCATTACCATTTCATCACACTACTCCCCATTATACTTAATGCAAGGAATAAATGAATGTTTCTGAGCCAATTCAAACTGGATAAGTACCCTGGTGATATAACCTCCAGCTGCATTTATAAATTTACATACACTTGTGGAAACAAGTACATTGGAAGGACAGAAAGAAGGGCTTCTTTCCGGTTTTCAGAGCGTATTACAAGAAACTTATGTCTGAAAAGAAGCAGAAATTCAAAAAGTGAAATTGCCAGACATCTTGTGGATACGGGTCATTATATCGAGAAATCTATATCTTTGAAAATGTTAAGCATTCAAAGGACAGCAAATTTACTTTGATTTGCTGAGGCAGTTGTAATCAAGCGTTTCCGATAATACTACATCCGTCTACTTTTACATAATAGGTGAGTGCTGTGGATTGTGATCAAAGCTACTTATAAGAATGTATCGACACATAAACAGTTAAAAAAGTAACAGTAGCTTGATAAAAATGTTTCACACACCCAAACACACAGTGAATCGTAGAAATATAAATAACAATAATAAGGGTTCACAGTAAGCATTAGAAAGTTTACTAGAAGGCAGAATACGAACTTGTTTGGAAATTGCTACTTTAAGACCACCCAGTTAGATTTTACTGGTCATCTGTACTCTCTACCTCCGGGGTTATTTCACACACTATGCCACTAGGTTTTATTGTATTTTATTTGTTTATGCGTTTATACTATTAAGTTATTTAGGTGGCGTGAATGATCAGTCGTAACTTTTATATTCTATTTTTTTTAAATCTGTATATGTTCTACATTTTTTATATCGTCAATATTTAAAAATTAGGTTTTAGTCACAAAACACTGAATTCTTACGAAACATCGTTAGGCATGCAGACATTTCGAAATGTGGCACGTAAATGTTTATGAGAAAGCAAACAAAGTATACCAGATGGAGGACAGGGTTCTCTAAGTGTACGTGATGAAACAGTAACCAACTCTTACTTAGAAAAGATTTCATGATAGATAATTAAGAACACAGACAGGATGAGTAGGTGAATCAATTCTGCGTTCCTGATTAAAAAAAATCTTAAGAATTTGCATACAACTGCTCAGTGAATCATCAAAGTCTTACTGTTTATTCTGGTATTTTCCATTTGTAAACAACATTGAACACCGATGTCTGCTTGTAAGCACATATTAATTAATTAATTAAATCTCTCATCACAATTAGCTCAGCATTTATATACTATTGAAAATACAGTTCTTAATCTTTCCAAATGCATTCAAGTTAAGTTTCAAACAGTTAAAAAGCTCATTAAAGAGGTGACTTCTAAATACAAAGTTTTCGCTAAATATCAAGTTGCTAATTTCACAGGCAGTCAATAAGACCTCTAAGCATACTACTGACTAGTAGTATTTGTATTGAATTTTCTCTCGCTTTTTTGATAATTTATACAAGGTTAATCAGGTCATACATCACGTAATGTGATATCCCGATTTTTTTTATTACTGAAGTTCCACTTGAAACTGTGTGATAAGTGAACTAGTCAGCTGTAAAAAATAAAAAAGCCACTTTGCTATTTTCAAATAACCAATGATTGTTCTTAAGGTAGATTAAAAGAAGACATCCGAGTTACTACATATTTTAACAAGTTTACGGAAATGGTGTCTGTTAGTATGTCAGTAGGCTTTTTATCAAACAAAGTTGCATTATGCGGAAATATTAACACTATGGATTCTAAGCTATTTATTTAATAGTGCTTTTTAATTACAACCTTCTCATTTAGATTTATTTGTGAGAAGTCATTAATTATGCAAGCTTGTAACCAAAATACCTTCTTTTCCACTGTTATATGGCATGATCTGGAAATAAATACCTCTGACACTGGAGATTCTTACATTTTCTCTTTAGAGTGGATCACATTTATTATTATTAATATTATCACCTTCATCACAATTAGATTTTTTAAATTATGACTTATTCACAGTAAATAATCTGTTAGAAACTGTGCAAATTAGGCAAGTAGTGATATACAAAGTAAATTTAGGAACTTCAGCCAAGACTGAAGAGAACAGTTCTGCAAAAATTGGTTACTGACCGACAGTAGACCTATGTAGAAAGTTACATTTGAAGAAACTACTTTTCTCAAACTGCAACAATAAATATTCTGTTGTGAAGAGTAATTGCAGCATCAAGGCGATTTTTAGTCTGCGGTACTGGGTAACTTTGTTTATTTACGAAAGCTTCTAAAGCAGTCCATTATCGTACCAAATATCCGTGACAATGTGGTATCTTAATTTGACAGTTTAATTTTAATCATTTCCCTGATGAATTTCAGAACCATTTCACGAAGAAATTACTTGTTTCAATATAGCTGAGACTTCCACAAGTATAATTATTTATACATATGATATATGGGTTGATGACAAATACGATCTACTAGATTTTGTCTACAGTCAAAATTTAAATATTATTGCATTCTAAAAGGCATCACACTGCATTGTAGCATCAGATATGAGCAGATAATAAGTAGGATACTCAGGAATTAGATCCCGTATTTGTTGGCTATCATCAATAAGGTGCATATATGTATTCGGAAAAACCTAGCCTAGTTAACTAGCTTGTTAATTTTCTAGCCGGTCCCTAGCCCGGGTAAAGAGGAAGAGTTGGGCGTAGGGCTAGCAACCCTAAACAACGAAACCTATCAAACCGCTAGAGAAACTTTAGCACACAAAAAATACGTTAAAAATACAAAACATCTCAAGAACGATGTTATTCTTCTCTCCAACGGGAGAGGCAAAATGACGCCCGCTGGTCAAAGCCTTCGGGAAGCTAGTCAGCTGATATGTCTTCTCTCAATGAAAGCAAGAATAAGAATGGGTACGTGTAATGTCCGTACAATGTACGATACTGGGAGGTCTGACCAACTAGCCAACAAAATGCAAAGATATGGTATACAAGTGCTAGGTATTTGTGAAAGCAGATGCAATGGATGTAGATTATTCAAACTGTCAACTGGAGAGTCCGTAATCTCCTCCAGCCATCCAGAAGACAACCACTAACACACTGAGGGAGTGTCTATAATGATGTAGCCAGCGGCAGTCATAGCTCTAATGCAGTGGGAACCGACTTTATCCTTCAGGCTAATGACACCAAGATTCAAGTCAAAAGGAAGAAACGTCACAATTAGATGTGCTCACGCAAACTTTCATCAAAGGCTGCCACATTCTCTGGGTCCATACTGAAGATCAAATGGCCAGCCAGAAAGAACTAGTAACAAAACACTGGGGGAATAAACCGACCAAGAACCGATCGTTCAACATATATGTAGGAGAAAATGGAGATGGATCAGGAATACATTGAGGAGACCATTGAATGATATCACGCGCCAGGCCGTCTGTCTGTCTGGGTTCAACATAGAACTTGGCACCGAAATGCACCAGTTCGAGTTGCCACGTTCCAAATAGCACACAAAAGTAGACAAGATGGGTGAAGAGAATAAATAGAGTCTGACAAGTATAAGAGTGAAACAGAATGGGTAATGGTAGAAAGGAATATGAAACATTACAGAAACTGAATACATCTGCGCCATTGACAACGATTTTGAGCTATTTCACCTATTGTCTCCAGCCATTGATTCCTAGAGTCGCAAGGGCACCAACCCGTAAGTCTGCATCTCCCTACCTGACTCAGTTTAACTGTCAAGGATTTCATGGATTGATGCCATGTTTTTGTTTGGCCACCACTTACTCTTTTCCGACCTGCACCTATATCAGCTAGTAATGCCCGTCGGGGGAGGCGATGGTTAGGCATGCGCAGCACGTGACCTAGCCATCTCAATCTATGTAACTTTATAGCCTCATCGATTGATTTTCCCTCTTTGCCCAACACTCTACGCCTAACGTCAACATTACTTACCTTATTAAACCACCTGACGTGAGAAAGAGATCGCAAACATCTATGATCACAAACAGTCAACCTTTTCATGTCTTCAACTCGTATTGGCCGTGTTTCAGAGCCATAGACAAGGACGGAGCGAACTGATGAGCAGTACACACGTCCCTTGATTGATAGCCGGATGTCACGCCTATGCCAGAGATTGTGTAAGTCAGCGAAAGCAGCTCGAGTTTTTTGGATCCGTGCTGAAATTTCGTCGCCAATCAGTCCGTTGGTGTTGATACAACTTCCCAAATAGGTGAAGTGGTCAACGTGTTCTATCGCTCCACTCCCTATCACTAAGCTAGGAGTTGACGTGGTCCAGTCCTGTAGCAGCATCTTACATTTTGCAGGGGCGAATCGCATGCCAAACATACGAAGATTGCTGCTCAAGGTGTTCAGAAGACTCTGCATTTTGTCAGCATCCTCCCCTAACAGAACTATGTCATCTGCATATTCTAAGTCCATAAGACTATTCCCTGGTAACAAGTCGATTCCTAAGTCACTACGTTCAGTTAAGGATACTTCCATTAGCATATCTATGATGAAGTTAAACAGGAATGGGGAGAGTGGAAATCCCTGTCGGACATCACTGGTTGTTATCAATTCAGATGACAATTCCCCATAAGCTCTTACACGACTACGTGAGTTTAAATAGAGTGCCTTGATTAGTGCAATGTAATTTCTTGGCACCGCCTTCACAATCAAACATTGCCATAGTACCTTTCGATCCACGGAGTCGAAGGCCGCCTTCAAGTCAAGAAATATGGCAATTGTTGGACGCCGAAAAGTGTGTCTATGTTCTAGAATCTTTCGGAGAGTGAAGATATGATCTATGCACCCTCTACCTGGTCTGAAGCCTGCTTGATTTTCCCTCGTTTGTTCTTCCCGAGTTCTGCTTAGTCTATGCATGATTACTGAGCCTAGGATTTTAGAGACTATGTTCGTTAGGCTGATCCCCTTGTGATTATCACACGAGGACTTGTTTCCCTTCTTGAATATCGGTATAATAAGTGACTTACCCCAGTCCAATGGAACCGTCTCTGATTCCCAGACTTTGCCTAGTACCTTAGTTAATCTACACACTAGTATGTCACCCCCATATTTAAACACCTCCGGAATAATTCCGTCGGGTCCTGCCGCTTCGCCTCGTTTCAAATTACAGATAGCTTTTGTGACCTCACTTACAGACGGCGGACCAGTGTCTCTATCCCATTCGGGTGTGTGCTGGCTGGCGGGGAGGTTCAGTGTGGCTGTAGGCAAGTTAAATTGTTCCTCAAAGTGTTTTTTCCAGCGTTCAAGGCGTCTATCCTGAGAGCTAATTAAGGAGCCATTTTTCTCAGAAATAGTCTCACTTATGATTTGCCTTCTCCCACGCATTTCCCCGATGAGTCTAAAGAGTTGCCTAGTGTTGCCTATCGTCGATGCTTTTCCCATCTCTTTTGCCTTTGTCACCCACCACTGTTCACAGTCCTTATGGAGACTTTTCTTAAGTTTTTTTTGTGCAGCTTTCGCCAGGCCATAGCTCGAGTGGAATCCTAATGGGAAGCGACAAGTGGGTAGTCCTAGGGTGATATGGAGGGGATGGTGTGACGAGGAGATGAGAGATTGTGGGCAATCATGGTCCAAGCTGAAAAGGACTGCAGAAGATAGGATAAAGTAGAGATATGTTGTTGAAGCCCTATGTTCCACTTGGAACTCAAGGGAATAATAATATTAATGTACTTGTCAAGAAAGTGATTATAATTTCTGGAACCAGAACTTGTATCACTTTGTGTTGGACTCACTAGATTAAGTGAATAAAGTTTACAACTGAATTGTTTTTCAGAATTGCAAATATTCGCAAACCTTCCTTAATTTAAATAACTAGTCGTAACATGAAAGTTCAAAAGTTTTAATCAAGCATACATTATCTCAGACAAACTAACTGCAATGAAAATGTTTAGACCGTGGGGACACACAGATGTAAATATATGAATTCAATATAGACACTGCACTGAGTGTACAGACTAACCCAGAAAATAAATCGCAGGGACAGTATGTAGACATTTCTTTCCATCGTGATCGCTTGCTCTAAAAATCAGGAAAAAAGAAATCACCGAATTACAATTGCAAGCACCAATATTGCAACAAAATTAATTCTTTTCATTGCACGAGATATGATTCTGTTTAGTTAAAAAATATTTAACAACTAACTAAACAGATTTTTCGCTCCACAGTTATATATATATATATATATATATATATATATATATATATATATATATATATATATATAACAATGTGTTCTAAAAAAATGTGTTATTTCTGACCTTAAATATCACACAAAATTCAATCATTCTGATTCTAGTAATCAGTCTTTTCAAATGACAATCAGGTTAATCTAAATAGTGTAAGTCTTTATTGAAAACTAATTTCATTTCATTTACAAATTGTCCGGCTGACAATTGAACGAAGACTTTAGAGTGTATAGAACATACTGTGATTTGTATGGAAGAGCACATACACTAACATAGTACAACAGTGACCTTAAATATAAGAGTGCTTTGTGATGCTTTATTAACTAAATACATTCATTAAATTATTAAGAATAAGTAGTTGCGGGATAAGCTACAGAGATATTGCCATAGATTGCACATTCAAAACTATAACAAAAAAAAGTTCTAAATGGAATATATGACTTCAAGCTTTGGAGTTTCAGTAGTGCTGGTGTTGTTTTTACGGGTTGGAGCTGCTAGGCTCACCTCCAACTATTTCTCTTTTTCGGGCTTACTGTTGGCTACTGAAATTGACGCTCACAGGGAGTTAAACCGCTCCTTCTGCGTAGGAAACGAGCATTTGACCATTGAGACACCGATGCACGCTTTCTAATGTAAAGGAGAAAATTAGAAGAACAAACTTCTAACAACCAAACCTTGGGAAATGGCACTCGTGATTTTCTGTGAAATTATCTGAGTTGTTTAGCCAGTTCACTTCACGTCTTCGTATGTTTTATCGGTTGGCGATTTATCCACCTATTCTTCTTAATTATTATTACCCTATAAAATATTCGTTACATACTAACCTAATGCTAAATTCTACAAATGAAATGTATAAATACGATACGTGGTCTGATCCTTCAACTACTATCTCGATTATTCATAGCTCTTTTAAACCTCTAAATTGATATTGCCTTATTTTCTACCCCACCAGTATAACACCGCACATTTCGATATATAATATTTGGAAAGGATATATATATATATATATATATATATATATATATATATATATTCATATATTCTAGACACATTGACCAGAAACTAAGTGAAGAGGAATACATTTCTTTGTTCAATTTGTTTTCTTAAAGTCTCATATGGCTTCCGTTTTCTTTGATAGTTAGTGTAAAGCAGCTCTAGAGTAAGATGTAAACAATTTAACGAAGTGTTGAATTTAATAACCGGAAGCCGTTGGTTACGATCACTAAAACAAGACAAATTGTTCAAAATAATTCAAACTAATTAGCAGGGTATTGATAAACTTTTACTCTGGTTTATCAAAATCCGAATGTCCTTATAATCTTTCTACTGTACGATAACGGCAAAACAATATAATAAGACATTGCGAAGTGGTCGCGCTACTTAATGAACTGGCAGAAGTTAGAATTCATGGGCCGTTGGATCGAGTCCCAATGACTTAATGGTCTACGAGGTCGCTTGCCTTGTAACCAGAAGGTCCTGGTTTCGAACCCCGGTGGTTGTGTACTGCTGAAGAGTCCCAAACTAGGACGTAGGAAACAGCTGTCCAGTACTCCCAGGTTTTCCAGTGGTTCTCTAACCGATGTCATGATGAAATCCTCCAAGCGATCAGACAAAAATCCATACAAAACCAATACTTGAAAATATAAGAAACCTAAAGTAATAAATAGCAGCTTTCATTTGGTGCATTGTTAGCTGTAGAAATTCATTATGGTATAACCCAACCATGGGATACGGACATTCCGAGGTTTTTTCTACAGTTTTACAAAAATAAATAACCCCTAATGAACTATACCACGGGACTATCATGTGATATCACTTTAGTATAACACTGAACTCTTTCTTCTGCATGACATTTACATTTTGAACATATTAATGTGAAATGGGAATGAAAGAATTAACTAACACAATTGATTAAAATTATACATTACGACAAACGGCATACAGGTGTACAAACTCACAGAATGCTGTTGTCTTAAGCAAAACAAGGAAGCAGAGTTCTTGACTATGTTCACTATTCCAGTAGCAGGCCAGAGTGGAATGGCTCCAAACTTTGGCTGAAACAAGAGAGACACATATGCACATGGGTTAAGCTGAGATGAAAGCTGTCGAGTGGTTATGGTAGTTAAGTTAGCGGAGTTATTAGAGAAAGATCGTTTTCTTGGTATTTTCAGTCATTAGCATGAGTTTTAGAAGCACTTCTTAGCAGTATTTCATTATAGAAATGTTTGATATGACTACTTTTTGGTGTTGAGCGATAAGTATGAAGGCTAAAATGCAGTTTAATAGGAAAACATGTAACTGATCTAGGAGACCCCTATCTAAGTCTCTTAATTCACATCTAACGCACATTACGGTGAAGCAAAGTGAGCAACTGAAATTTCATGACATTCAATCATCAAACTATATCCATATACCTGCAGCTCTTTTAACATCTTAAAATCAATCCACAACACTAACTCTGAATCAAGATTTCAACCCCCCTTAAGCCTTTTCTCTGTATGTGCAGATCAGATAATAATTGGTCAATACGATTCTTTTTAATTTTTTTTTAGAACATTCCAGCTAGTAAATAAAGCTCTCTCTAGAAGAGGTCATGAATATCTGATCACATATCAGTATTTAAAGCGGAAGAGTTTACTCCACTCACCGTCAAATCAGAGCATTAAGGGGGTATGGTTGCTTTCACTAGTAACAAAACCCAGTTGAAAGTGGTTTTGTTTAGTGTACACAGATCTGTAACGAAGAGTAATAAAAGAAACCGGATATTAATCTCAAAACCCTGTACTTATGGTTGATATGGCGTATGATTTAAGGATCTACAATCTATAAATGAAGTAGGCACTCAATATCTGTTTTGTAACTCTTGTCTACTTTGATGTATATTGATTGATTTACGCTTAGTAAAAACCAGGACAACAATATGCATAAGTGAACAATGTTGTTTTGGAACAAAGCCAGAACAACACATAATGGAGCCGCATAAAACGGATTCATTTTATTTTGTAGAAACCTTTTTAACTGTTTACAAACCGGATAATAAAAATACGTAATTAAACTACAATTTTAACAGCCTTCAGTTCGTTAGAGAAAGAAATGCCAAATAATAATTATGACATATAGATGAATCGTAATGTTAGGCTAGCAAAATATAACGAAAAGATGCCATTAATAAACACAATGCATTCAAAGTTTCTCAAAAAGGGAAAGGGCAATAACATGATGCTGATAGACATATGTTATAAGATTGTGTAAGTGATCAGAAAACTGTTGATAAACTCATCAGACAAAACATCTTTTGAGTTAAGATCATTTAGTTAGCTATAACACATGAAGCATAAGCATTAATACATGATGGTGTAATTGGTTGAGAGTGAACAGAAATCAGTTTTTACATCTAATAAAAGGTAATACAATCAGTTATAGGTTAAGAGCCAGGTTACTAATGTAGAGTGAGACTTACTACAGTTGCTTTTAGAATACATATATCAGGCCTTAGCCAACTGATACTGATGGTCTCTGCGAACTTCAAAAGTCTTAAGTTTGCTTATTTATTTATTATCTGAAGAAATTCAAGATATTTGTCTGATATCCTTTTTTAGTCAGATGGCGTATGATTGTGTGGTTTAGAGCTGTACTCCCTCTCAGTTTTCGACTTGGTAAGTGCTTGGAAAATCTAAGATAGGCCTTTCACTCTATTCATCCAGTAAGTCTGTTTCAGCTGCCATACGAAAGTGGAGGTAACAAAGTAAGGGTGACTGTATACTCTGAACTGAGCTAACAAACATTTTGTCTGAGACACAGGAATCAGCCTAGCCAATCGTTCCTTTAGTCTTCTGTTCGTTGTTCCAACAATGTCATCATCTTTAAAATGGAAGAGAATGAATGTAACTTTTGTTCATAGTGACATTTTGCTCGCTTTCGCTCCCAGTAATTTTGTCTTCAGTTAGATCCTCTTCATGATTTACTCTAATGTGCATGATAGTAGGGATGGTACCTGTGAAATTAATCATAATCACAATAACGATAATTGAAAAAACAATGGCGACATATGTGACGATGAAGATATGTGTTCATACAGATATTATAGGTCAAAGTTTAGAAAAATATCTGGATTGGTTGATATTGCAGAATAACAGAAGCAGATAAATGAAATGTAAATGACGAGAGTTTACAAAATCGTTAAGGCAGAGGTTTATACAACTGCATACAAGAAAGAAATATGGACTTCTTTCGGAACGTCTAGGATGGATGCAACAAAGCACTTTGAATGCTTGCATTTTGCCCTCCAGTCAGCAACAACAAACCAAGTGGTATGAAACAGAATTTTATAAACATTTTGTGAGATTTTTACTCAACTACGAAGACAGATGCTCCGTAGCACAGCTAAGCAGCTCATTTGTATGGCCATAGTGAGATCCAATCTCAACTAGGTGTTCATGAATATTTCCCAACTATTTTTGCGACTGAAGTAAACTATTTTGTACTATTATGACAATAATTCAAATTTACTTTCGAACAAACAGCTAAATAAGTACAAAACTACATTCTAGCATGTGATTCTCTTATACAAGTAAACCACGTTCTTTTCTACTCAGTAGAAGAGAAGTGCATTTTAGCAATGTTTCTTTGTAGCCAGTGCTGACCTACAAACACATATATTACGCTTAACTATTTTTCTTGACTTTCTGTACCTTTCACCACTAACAACCTTCGTCTGAATACACGCATATGAGTATTCTGATATTTCGCTAGTCACTCATCCACGAAAAAAACCACGAACAAAAAGTTGTATAGAGTAAGAAATAGTGAATGATCAGTTAACAGTCTATCTATCTATCTAATTCATAAATAAGTTTTTCTGCACGCTTGGTCATCACTAATTTGTTTTAAGGATTCACTATGCTTTTTGTGACAGATTTTGGTGGAAGGGAATCCAGCCTCATACTTTCAGTAAGCATTGAAGTAAATATTTAAATTTATTCAAACGCATAAAAACCTTGGTACAATATGGCACCAAGACGGTTGCGCCACACAATAATAATAAAACAACATAGATCAAAAAAAATGAAATGAGAGAAAAAATATATATAAGTAGATAACGGATAAAGAACTTCATCTGGAAGGAAAACAGTCATGCTAAACAAATTCAAACAGTATTCGTTAACTATCATCGGGAAAGCAAGTAAGAAGGAAATTGCAACATTTTCTCCATTGATTACGATTCTTGGCCATATCCGATAACGTTTCGAGCAATCGATTTGAGCTGTCTCTCGGACCTCAAACAGGGAGTCGTGACACACCAATCGATGCTAATCTAGCACAAAATTCCTTCATCTCACGATGCCACGTCATGCACTGACCACCTCTCCGCCTTTTCCATCCCGTCACAGGGCTAGAGAACAGAGGCCTGTACGAAAGTCCCTGGGATGACATTCGCAGCACATTACCAAGCCACATCGGTCGATGTTTCCAGATGATGACACTCAATGAATGGTGACCTCCACTGTGCTCAAACACACGCCTCCGAACCTCAGAATTACTCACGCGATGATGCCATCGAACGCAAGCAATCCTGCAGAGACAGCGATGATCGAACACGCAGAGTCGCCGCACATCCTCAGCTCGGAGAGGCCAGGTTTCACAGGCGTAGAGCAGGGCAGCCCGCACCGAAGCATTGTATACCCGACCTTTGACAGCCAGGCTAACGTCGCGACGGCGCCATAGGTGGCTCAAGTTGATGTATGCCACCCTAGCCTTCATTATACGGTTGGAAATCTCATCCGTCACCCCTCCGCCAGCACTCACACAACTACCCAGGTACACAAACTTATCAACAACTTCAAGCGGTTCACCCGCAAGAGTGAGTGCAGGTACAGGCTCCTGCCAATCTTGTAACAGTACTTTGCACTTAGACGGCGCAAAGCACATACCATACTTACAGACACTGATCGCCAACTGATTAAGTGCGATTTGGGCAGCCTGCATGCTATCGCACAGTAAGACGATATCGTCTGCATACTCGAGGTCGAAAAGTCTATCTCCAGGTAGCAGATCTACACCACCTTCACGCACATCCTTCAGAGCTGACTCCAGAATGTCATCGATGGCAAAGTTAAAGAGAAATGGAGAGATTGGGCAACCCTGTCTAACCCCACTGTTGGTTGGGAACAGTGGTGATAGTTGGTTGTATGCCCTCACTCTACCTGAGGTGTTTCTGTATAGGGCTTTCAGGATGTTAACAAATTTCTCAGGTACACCTCTCTCTAACAGACAGTTCCAGAGCACAGTTCTGTCCAACGAATCGAAGGCAGCCCTAATATCAAGAAACACAACGATCGTTGGCCTGCAATACGTGTGGCGGTGTTCCAACAACTGACGAAGGGTGAACACATGATCAATGCATCCACGACCTGAACGAAACCCAGCCTGCTCTTCGCGAATCAATCCTTCACGTATTTTGCACAGTCTGCGAAGCAAGACAGCAGCCAATATTTTAGACGCGACTGGTAACAGACTGATACCCCTATGATTGTCACACGAATTACGTCGACCCTTTTTAAAGATGGGGACGATAATGGCTTCGTTCCACATTGATGGTACACTCTCTGTCTCCCACACCTTCCTGAACAACCCAGTTAGAGCCATTGTGAGAGTCTCGCCACCATCTTTAAAAAGAGCCGGGGGTAATTTGTCTGGGCCGGGCGCCTTATGGCGTTTCAGAACTTGGAGTTCCTTACGGACCTCCGCTTCGGTGGGTGGGTCGGTACTAACCGACCAAGGAGCACTCGGGCTAATGATAGTAGACACTGAAGCTGGTGGCCAGCTGAACTGCTTCCCGAAGTGCTCTGCCCAGCGTTCCAGGCGTCTTTTCAGGCTGGTAATTGGAGTGCCATCTGCCTCACAGACCGTCTCGCTGACACCTTGTTTCTTGCTGCCGGTGGCTCGTATGAGTTGGAACAGCTTCCGACTGTTGCCAGATGCAGCAGCTGACTCCATCTCACACGCACGTTCTGACCACCAGGCTTCGCGGTCCTTACGTAAACACTGTCTAATCTTGCGCGTGAGCGCCTTTCGCTGATTGTTGTATTCGCTGCCAGCCGGAATGGACCGGCGTTCATCCATGAGTTGCAAGGAACTCGCAGAAACCCAGTGGTTGTTAGCGGAGCATTCTTTCAAGCCGCAAGCGGCTACACTCGCCTTTTGCATGGCACCTTGCACATGAAGCCAATGTTCATCTATACTACTTGGGGGGTTGCTGGCAAGCATTGTTTTTAACTCATTCTGATATTTCAAAGAAGTAGCAGGTGCTACTAGTTTGCTCACATCAACGCTTAGACGACGGCTTTTACGAACCCCACCAAATCGCAAGACGAACTTGGCACACACTAACGCATGATCGGAGTCCAGGCATGTGCTCCAGAAGGAGCGACAGTCTTGTATGCATCCTCGCCACCGGAAACTGACCGCGATATGATCAATCTGAGTCCAAGCTTGCTTCGCAGAGGGAGGACGCCAGGTAGCGCTACGGCGATGGCTGTGCCGGAAGTTGGTGCTAGCTAGAAATAGGTTGTGATCCGCGCAAAGCTGCAGAAGACGGTCCCCATTATCTGACCTGCGACCATGTAGTCCCCACTGACCACCTAGACGATTCTCCTCTGAGCTTAGACGCCCCACCTGTGCATTCAAGTCCCCAGCCAGCACTACGATATCCCTCCGACCCGCCTGTTTCAAGAGATCGCTCAGTTGGTAGTAAAACTCATCCTTCATTGCATCCGGGCTGCAATCCGTCGGTGCATAGGCAGAGACAACAAATAGACACCGCCTATCTGGCCTACTACTCTTTACTTTCGTATAACCTTCCAGCCTCACAGCACATAAGCGACTATTAATGGGAATCCAGTCGAGGAATGCAGCTTCAGATCTAGCGCTCAGTGCGACAGTGACACCAACTACGCTTGATGCCGGCACCACAGGATCCCCGGATAAGCGCAGGTGGTACATACTGCTGGAACTTCCAGAAGGAGAGGATAGTCGAAGCACTTCACTGGGATCTTGAATGCGTGTCTCCGAAGTGCAGCAGACACCGATAGCGAGGCTTTCCAAAGTTCTTACTAATCCTGCCTGTTATCCGGTTTACATCAGCTTCCGAACATTGAAGGTGGCCAGCTTGAACGCGGCACGCGGTTTCAGGATAACTGTGTTAGATGTCACATAAGGAACAACCATTTTGAGGGCTACTCACTAACATCTCGAAACGACACAGATAGGTTGGGAATCTAGAAAAAGGCGAAAGGCTGTCAAAAGTTAAGAAGTCAAGGTTAGCGAGGGTAAAATACAGGAAACTATGTATAAAAATAAAAGTAAGGTAGGAAGGACACAAGTTACTTGAGGCATCGATATTACTTGGAATCATTGTGATAGCACGCGATAAGTTTCATTGATAGTTCGTTGCTTTAATTCATTCATTGTGTGCGGGCTGAGATACTGCCCGGGCGCCCAGACCGAAGCAGGTGGTTTTATTAAGGGACCACCCCCGAGCCTTTGACTTGGAGTCTAATCCGCAAGGCAGCGGAGCAGCGTCAGGAGCTGCATTCCCATGGTTTCCGGTGACCCATATGGGTTCATACGCCATTTGATCCGATTGGATACTGGAGCCCATGCACCCCATGGTAACTGCTTTTAGTTAAACCACTATCCAAACAACCTTCCTGACATGGTAGGACCTGTAGAGACAGAGTCCCAGTCAGTTCAGCTTGTTGGGTCATTGCGGTATTCAAGCCCGACCACCACGACAAGGTAGCAGTTATCGACCGGGATTGTAAATAGTACTGTATATTTATTTTCCATTATTTTAAATATCTGGGCTACAACCAAATGGCCATCTTAAATACCTAAACTGTAAAAGTTGGGTGGCGAAATCAATTCAAATGTGATACGTGTAACGCATATTGCACTAGTGGTTGAATCATTGTGCATATGCTTTCATGTGCTACAACAACCCAGTGTCCAAGCATAATTACGTGTAACCAAATTCGACATTGAAGGTCCTCGACTGTAAGCCAGATCAGTAGGCTCATAAATCACATTTCTAAGCAACATTTATGTTTTTGCTGTGTCATATTTACTACCCCTTTCTATACCTTCAGATTCTGTGAAAACGGAAAACTTGGAGATCGAAATCCAACTTGTATCTTACTGACAGCGTAAAATGCTGAATCACTGTAGGATAAATTCAAATAAGAAAGTCAACTACAAACACTTTTCCAATAAAGCAAACAAAATGCAGATGAATTCGATCCTTACGTCGGAGGCAGTAAGATTTATGAGTCATTATCACGTCTGACAACTCAGCAATCTGTTCACTCACCACAAGATAAAAAATAATAAATATTTTGAAATCAGATGCTTTCAATTATTACCTTAATCTCCACACTTAAGGTCGGACCAAATGCATATTCTGCGAGATTTGATGACATTTGTGTTGCATCGGATGTCACGAAAACGAAGTTTTCGGAATGATCAATGCCTTTTACCTTACGGTAAGCTGGAGAGAAATATTAGAATAAATAAAGAATTAGCATAAGAAGTAAGAATAGCCGAAAAACACCTATAACTTCGTTATTATAAGCTTAAATGTGGATTATAGTCAGCTTTAAAACCTATTATTAGGAGTAGTACACTGTTGTCTTCTAAAAACGTAATAAAGGAAAGTTATGACTCAGAGGAATTTTGAACCAATCACTTTATGACTAGTTCAAAAAATATCCAGTGTAAAAAAAAGAATTAATTCACATTCTTTATGAAAAGCATGAATAAAAACTACACAAATTCTTCAATTTAATTGTTTTCAAACATTAGAGTCGGACCAGGATATATCTAAAGACCTTGGAAACCACACTGAAAAGTATAAAACAGGTTTTCTTGCACCTTGTGCCGATAGACACCTGAGATTTCAAGCTGAATCCTGTGTTATATAAAACTTGGGCACTGTGGCTGAAGCAATCCCGGTGAGTGCATACTGCTGAAGAGTCCCAAACTAGGAAGAAACAGCTGTCCAGTACTCCCAAGTTTTCCAATGGTTCTCTAACTAATGTCAGCTCATGATGAAATCCTGAAACCAATCAAATCTCTACAAACCAACACTTGAATAGCAATAGTATCAAGTTATCATTCTGGTATTATGTTGCTGTTCGGAGATAGCTGAGGCTATAACCTAGGGACTACTCTATATCTAGTCCGACTACGGTCAAGGTCTTCGTTTCCCTCTGTAATGATGTGGACTACAGCTAATCACATCATCCAGATATTAGTAAGAGATTGTTCTTTATGGAACTGATATCAGTTAGTTTATTGGGATTATCTTTTCTTAAGGACATTTCACGAAAACTGTGGAAGGATGACACAAATGAAGGACAATTTCTCAAGATGTTTCGATCACTATCCAACATCATTCATTCATACGAATTTCGATTTTGTCCTGATGTGGTTCATCGGCTTCGAACCAATGAGTAGCCCTAGATAATTTAACTTGAACAACCGGTTAGTATCGTCATCCGTCAAATGATAAGTGTGGCCCATAGCCCAGTGCCGAGTAAGTGAGTGCGAACTAACTACATGGCAAGCTACTTCCTTCGATGCCGTTTATTCTGCCAAATCCTAATGTCCGATGAATATTTCTGAACACTGGTTACTTTAGTTTTCATTGTATACTGATACTAACCGGTGATAGTGATGATGAAACAAACCTAGAATGAACTTATTTTTGTAAAACATCCTTTATTTTAGCTATTAATTGGGATTAATTATCTCACGATTTCATGTAATGGAGAGACATGGTTTTGGTGGTTGCAGCGTTAAACTTAGTAGAACAAATTGATCTTGGTTAACTAAATAACACAAATCAATGTGTAGGAGATTGATAAAGCGAGAAAAAAAAGATCAGAATATTATTTCACTGTTATATTCAAGCATACTTATGCGAAGAGTAGTAGACAGACAATTACCCCACGTAAAAGACACTGACCACAATACAAGATAACATTCATCAATTGTTGTTTCTCACTAGATTAGGCGTTGTATCATTATACAGTGTCACAGCCTACATACAATGAAATAAGAATAGAACTTGGGCACTACGGAAGTGTATAATTCCACCATGGATAGAATTTATTTTGATAAAGTCTCACAGTGTTATACAGTAATATTTAGTGATGACGTTTCGAGCACAACTTATTGCTCATGATCACATCAATATACTCACACAACTTTCTAACTTCGTTTATATAATTATGTTACTTTTCATTTTTTGATATGATTGGTGGTAGTATTTTCCATGTCTCTGGTATTTACACTGAGTCATTTATATTGCATTGGGTGTAGATTCAATTAACCACGATTCAGAAATCAACCTCTCTCTCTCCAACTACTTACATTACTTTTTAGAATTTTAACTCTGTCCTACACTATTCTGTGGTTGTGTTAATGCATGTAGTACAATGGCTGAGCTTTTTTTAAGTTACTTATCTTCGCGGGGTGAATCATTCTAACCTTGGCTAAATTCCTGTTCTGACAGTCTGACTACCACCGATCACTCGTTCAACCTATGTAGTTGACCTCACACCAATTGCAAGGCATTTTGTAAATTATATTATTTTGTTTAATGGGGTCAATTTTACAGTATCGGCTGGGTACTTTAACCTACAGAGCTTATCCCTGAGCGGGTTTGTAGGTTTAAATGCCACCCTAGTTCCTGTTTTATCAAGAATCCTACGTAGGGTCTCAGATGTTCCCTAATTACATGGTAAAACTATAGATGCTTTATATTCTTCCTTGTGTTGTGATTACTGGTTTCACCATTAATTTTATTTTGCTGTTGACCTTTTTTGGTTTTCCTAATAAATTTTATGGTATACGTATTTAACACCAGCGCTTCTTCCTCTGTTTCATTTCATCACTTAGATTTTTTTGTACTGCTTAGTGCTATTGCTCGGTTCGTCTGTCTGTTTTCGACGTAGAACTTTGCACATATGTGCGACAGTTCAAGTCGCCACACTCTATGTAGCACACAAACCAAGAAAAGAAAGTAGAAGAAAAGCATAATAGAGACAGTAAGCAGGGTGTGAGACAAAGGAAGAGTGATAACGAAGAACAAAGAGTTTAACTGGAAATCATAAATCACAAGGAGTGGATGCATCTGCGCCACTGAGAACGATTTTGAGCCATGTCACCAATTGTTTCCAACCATTTGTTTTTACCATCCCGAGGACCCCAACCAGGAAGTCTAAACCTTCCTACGTGGCCTAAACTGATTGTTGTAGATTTCATTGACTGGTGCCATGTTTTGGTTTGACCGCCGCTAGCTTTTTTCCAGCCTGACCCTATGTCAGCTAACATTGACCGCCGGTCGAGGAAGGCGATGACTAGGCATACGTAACACATGTCCCAACCATCTCAGTCGATGTAGCTTCACAGCCTCGTCGATTGATTTCCCGTCCCTATCTAGCATTCGACGCCTAACCTCAATATTGCTCACCTCATTATACCACTGAATACGGGAGACAGAACGCAGACACCTATGATCAAGGACAGCTAGCCAGGCTTTTCATGTCTTCCAATGGCTGTGTCTCACTCACAGCCATAAAATAGGACGGAGTGGACTGCTGAGCAGTACACACGCCCTTTGGTCGATAGCCGGATATCACGTCTACGCCAGAGACGGAGTAAACTGGTATATGCAAAACTAGCCCTCTGTAACCGTGCTGAGATTCTGTCAGAGAATAAGTGAAGCGGTCCACGTGCTCCACCAACCACTTCACTTCCTATTTGTAAACTAGGGTCAGTGTAGTCTAGTCAGTCCTGTAACATCATCTTACATTTGGCGGAAGCGAATTGTACGCCAAACCTTCGTAGATTGCAGCTCAAGGTGTTCAGAAGACTGTGCTGTATTTTGTCATCGTCCACGCCTAGAAGGACTATATCGTCTGCAAATTCTAAGTCAACGAGATTATTCGCTGGTAGCAAGTCAATCCCTGAGTCGCTGAAGTCACTTACGGTTAAGTCCATTAGTATATCTATGTTGAAATTGAATAGACATCGGGATAGTGGACTGGCATCCTTGACGGACACCACTAGTCGTCACCACTTCAGATGGCAACTCGCCGTAAGCCCTAACCTGGCTGCATGAGTACGAATAGAGTGTTAGATACTTAACCAAGCCTGTCTTTACAGATAACGGATGAGATGAATTAAAGTCTACATATGTATTAGAATGAGTTGGCTTTGTATAAAAGCTAGTGTGCAGTTTACTCTCTTCTGTTCTTTTTTTTCACAATCTAACATAGCTAATTCTTCTTGTTTATTTTTTGATTCAAATGTGAATTTTATTCCCTTTACTAAAGAAGGGTAGAGACTTTATCAAAACAAATTTTATCCATAATGGTACATACAATGAGGCTAGTTCATTGTTTAATATACGAATTTCCACGTGGTTTCTGCACTTGATTTCGAAAATGCTTCAGTATTGTCACAAGTACTTCACTCGAATAACTTAGGTGGATGTTTAAGTCATTAGTGTCTTCAATTCAATAATGAAGATTCTGATCAAAAATGTTCTACTACAGAAAAGTACCTATGTATGATGAATGACATGATGAGGACACCTTGAAAATAAACTAAGGTACATAAATGACAAGCCTTATTATCCCGTGCTACTGTAAACCAGCATTGACGTATAACTGGCAACTAGGTACGTTCCTCTCTATCCGACTAAAATAACTCGATCATTTAAGGCATAGAATAGATTTCTAATAAAATTATGAAAACTGGTTAAGCGAAATTAATTACCTGGCCTGAAAGGTTCTATTTTATTTTCTAGCTCATAGAGGAACGTGGGACTTGTTTTAACAAGATGCTAAAATTAAGAAAAATAAAAAAGTGTCTTACGTAAAATCCACAACAGGTGGAAAACATATACCATTTTTCCAAACAGAAATAACTGAAAATATACTATGGTAACTAAAGCAGTGTTATCCTGCTAAACATCCAGAACTTACATACTGATTGTTAAATCAGTATTGTGAAAGATTTACATAAGCAACAAAATAAAGCACAGGTTAGTGTTTCTTAACAACTAGCCCAGTGGTTACGAGAATTGAATTTTCTGAAACTGTGACAAAAAATAACAAACTATTTTGGATAAATACAAGCCTCATAAAAGCAATATCTCTCTATAATGCCTAAGTAAACTGGTAGACCTATCAAACTAAAAACACCAGCTGAGATTTTGGTAAAAAGAAATTACCAACAACGACCAACAATATACACAGTCATAATGCAAACTGTCAGACAACATAAATAGAGGTGACTGTTAACCCTAATGGTACTTACATAGTTTGTTGTACTCCAAAATTCAAACCATGACTATAACCATCAAGCATGAACGAATACAATTGCACAACTCTATTTGGCTAAATACATTAATCTTGATATTTCATCACTTTATCTGTAACAGCTATACATTGGCAGGACTGAGAACATCACCAATGTCTCACATTTAAGTGTAACATACTAAGATATGTACTTAAATGCACGAAAACATTATGCGGTAGTGACTAACCAAGTAATTAAAAATTTCAATCATAACCTACTAAGTTTCATTTCACTCAATTACTAGATGGCTTTGCAGAAGAATCAAAAAGATCTTTAGGTACATAGTTCCAAAACGCTACAGTAAACTGATAATAATAACAATGATAATTCAGAAGTGGTTTTTAATCCATGTGCTTGAATACATATGCACTAAGGATTGCTTTATACACCAATGACAAAATGTCTTGCGGTAAATTCCGGTGGAAGCTAAGTTAGGTAATTATTTTATGGATGACAAACAGATTTTCCGAACAAGTATGACGCGAATTAATAGTGGCACACAATAAGGCTTGATTAGCCAAAGTGTAATTAACATACTACGTAAAAATTACGGTATCACACTAATGTCAAAATCAACAGAAGTTATTCGTTTAGTGTGTTTCATACGTAAAAGATAATCTAATAAAAAATCAAGGATATAACACCTTGGTTCCTGTGTAAACTACACACTTTATCTGACTGACTTGTGAAGGTATCAGTATGGAAATAGATCAATGCCTCATTAGTATATTGACACTTGACAACTAAGTTTACCTAGAACTGTTAGCGTAATTACCGTGTTACACTAATAAGAGTCCAACTTATATTAGACGCTTTAGCCAAATAACATCTAACTGATACTCATGATGAACAGTTCACAGCTTAATACAAGAATCTACACTATTTTTCAAATGAGGTACAGGTGAAAACAAAATAAGTAACAACTTTTGTTGAGAAAAGCTTACAATGCTCCGAATGAACTGAGAACCAAAATAATGAAATATGCGCTGATTTGCAAACATTTCTGACCGTTTAGTATGTTTCTTTGACCAGTATCCCTAGAACAATAGACATCATATTAATTCATGAAAGATTATGGCACCTACATTACGTCCATCAGTTGCTTTCCGGATACGCAAAATCAACTTGATCTGTAAGGAAATATGTATTAAGCAGATCACATAAACCTGTGTATTGGATACCACGATTGTATTGTTTCCTTCATCTCGATAAGTAAGGTTGTCCAGATTGAAAAGTTTTGACTAAAAATGTAACCAAAAAATAAGCCATGTTAATTGGAATTTAGATAAATGCAAATGTAAAATGGTAAAAATTAAAGTTTAAAGTGACAAGCTAAACTTGTGGTTGAGAACACATCCATCATTCATCTGCAAACCAGCTGCAACGTGACATTTATTTTTGTCTTCCATCATCTTGTGATATTTGAAATTGTTTATTACTCCCTTGGCGTGCCTGTATGAGATTTAGCAATGTGGAGCACTTTATTGTTGTTTAAGGTCTACTTGAACAAAGTCATCAGTAGTTGGCAATGAGTCAGTCCCTAAACACAACTATCATTCACAAAGAGGATAAACAATATAGTTGTCGCATTGTGTACATAGAACTGTTTCCACTCAGTAATAAAAATACCATCTAAAACTTTCAACTCATATGTCATAACAGTTTTAGTCTATAAAGCCAATGAATGTGATCAAGCCATACAAGCTTTACATGCTACGAATCAGTATTCGCGTTCCTAGGCAGAATACCTCAAGCCGATCATGGGGGATATACATTAGCTTGTCTTAACTGTCAGGGATCATTTGTTTACATGCTTAACCAGTGTTTTATACAATCAACTTGGTAAAGCTGCGCTTCAGTGATGTTAAGCAAGGAAATAACTTGTTGCTGTTACGTTTCTGTTTTGTAGTCTGTATCTACAGGCTAAAAGTCTGTCTGTCTGTCTGTTTTCGACATAGAACTTTACACAAATGTGCGGAAGTTCAAGTCGCCACACTCCGTGTAGCACGCGAAGCAAGAGAAGAAAGTACAAGAAAAGCATAATAGAAACAGTGAGCAGAGGTGTGAGACAAAGGAGTAATAAAGAAAAACAAAACAGTTTCATTGGAGATCATAAGTCACAAGGAGTGGATGCATCTGCGCCACTGAGAACGATTTTGAGCCATGTCACCAATTGTTTCCAACCATAGATTTTTACCGTCCCGAGGACCCCAGCCTGGAAGTCTACACCTTCCTACGTGGCTTAGACCAACTGTTGTGGATTTCATTGACTGGTGCCAAGTTTTTGTTTGACCGCCGCTAGCTTTTTTCCAGCCTGACCCTATATCCGCTAACATTGCTCGTCGAGGGAGGCGATGGCTTGGCATACGTAACACATGTCCTAACCATCTCAGTCTTTGTAGCTTCACGACTTCGTCGATTGATTTCCCCTGTTTACCTAGAACTCTACGCCTAACCTCAATGTTGCTCACCTTATTATGCCACTTTACACGGGAAATAGAGCGCAGGCACCTATGATCAAAGACAGCTAGTCTTTTCATGTCTTCCACTCTCAGTGGCCAGGTCTCACAACCATAAAGGAGGACGGAGCGGACTGATGAGCAGTACACCCGCCCTTTGGTCGATAGTCGAACATCTCGTCTACGCCAGAGTCGGCGTAAACTAACAAATGCGAAACGAGCCCCCTGTATTCGTGCTGAGATTTCGTCAGAGATCAACCCGTTGGGGCTGATGGTACTTCCCAAATAAGTGAAGCGGTCAACGTGCTCTACCACTTCACTTCCTATTTTTAAACTAGGCGTCGATGTAGTCCAGTCCTGTAACATCATCTTGCATTTGGCGGGAGCGAATCGCATGCCAAACATTCGTAGATTGCGGCTCAAGGTGTTTAGAAGACTCTGCATTTCGTCAGCGTCTTCGCCTAGAAGGACTATATCGTCTGCATATTCCAAGTCAACGAGATTATTCCCCGGTAGCAAGTCAATCCCTGAGTCGCTGAAGTCACCTAGGGTTAAGTCCATTAACACATCTATGATGAAGTTGAATAGAAAAGGAGATAATGGGCATCCTTGACGGACACCACTGGTCGTCATCAGTTCAGATGACAGCTCGCCGTAAGCCCTCACCTGGCTGTATGAGTACGAGTAGAGTGCCTTAATCAGTGCAATATATTTTCTCGGAATTCCCTTTACAGCCAAGCATCTCCAGAGAACTTCCCGATCGACAGAGTCGAATGCTGCCTTTAGGTCAAGAAATATAATGACTGTTGGACGCCGGTAGGAATGCCTATGTTCTAGAATCTGTCGGAGGGTGAAGATATGATCAATACACCCTCTTCCTGGTCTAAAGCCTGCCTGGCTCTCTCGTGTTTGTGCCTCCCGAGCACCACTCAGTCTACGCATGATTATTGAGCCTAAGACTTTAGATACTATGTTAGTCAAGCTAATCCCTCTGTGATTATCACAGGAAGACTTGTCTCCCTTCTTGTATATGGGGATAATCAGTGACTTACACCAACCCGATGGGACTTCTTCTGATTCCCAGACGCTGCCTAGTACCTCAGTTAATCCGGACAGTAAGCTGTCTCCACCGTACTTAAATACCTCTGGAGTCATTCCATCAGGTCCCGCTGCTTTGCCTAGTTTCAGATTGGTGACAGCTTTAGTAACCTCAGTTAGGGACGGAGGACCTGTGTCTATATCCCATTCAGGGAGGTGTTGGATGCTCGGAAGGTTGAGCGTGGCTGTGGGCAAATTAAACTGCTCCTCATAATGCTCTTTCCAACGATCCAGTCGTCTATCCTGGGAGCTAATTATAGTGCCATTTTTTTCCGAGATTGTCTCACTAATGATTTGTCTTCTCCCACCCGTTTCCCTGATGAGTCTAAAGAGTTGCCTGGTGTTGCCTATCCTCGAAGCTTTCTCCATCTCTTTGGCTTTTGTCGCCCACCACTGTTCACGGTCCTTGCGGAGACTTTTCGTAAGTTTCCTCTTGTGCAGCTTTCGCTCCTCATTGAATTCGGAGCTCGCCGGAATAAGTCTTCTAGCATCTATCAGTTCGGATGAGGCGGTGGAGATCCAGTGGTTTTTACTCACCTTTGGGTTTACCTTATTCACAGCTTTTACAGCTGTATCTATGGCTGCCTGGATATTTTTCCAAGCTTCTTCAGGGTGAGCACAGCTGTCGAACACAGATATGTGTTTAGCTAGTTCTTCCTGAAATACGGATTTAGTTTCCTGATCGAGCTGGGGACGTGATGGTTTTACCGCCAGCTGTTTCCTACGTCCGTTCAGTCGTAAGCACACCCGAGCGCGGACCAGTGCATGGTCGGTATCTACGCACGTGTTCCAGAAGGAGCGACAATCTCCTACCGACCCACGCCAACGATAGCTTATTGCTATGTGGTCTATTTGTGTCCAGCGTTGGTTTGATGAAGGGGGTCTCCAAGTCAAACAGTGTCTCTCCTTGTGTTTGAAGTTAGTGCTTACAAGAAACAAATGATTATCAGAGCAGAACTGTAGGAGACGGTCACCGTTGTCGGTTCGCTGGCACGGAACTCCATAGGTGCCACCGACATCCTTCTCAGATTGACACAATTTCCCTACTTGAGCGTTAAAGTCACCAGCTAGAACGACTATGTCTGAGCGTTTAGCCTTTCCACCAAACTAGACAGCTTTTGGTAGAACTCATCCTTCGTTTCATCTGAACTGCAGTCAGTGGGGGCGTAGGCGGAGATTACGAAAAGGCATCGGCGAGTAGTGCAGTCCTTCCTCCTTTTTACTGATCCGTTCAGACGGACAGCACACATTCGGCTATCTACCGGGATCCAGTCAAGCAATGTCTTTTCTGCCCTAGTACTCAAAGCTATCCCTACGCCAGCTAATCCTCGTGAACTAGCTGTGGCATCTCCTGACACCCTCAAGGTGAATTTTGCAGATTCAACCTGTTGGCCAGGTGGGGTTAGGTGAATAACCACACTTGGGTCTTGTATGCGTGTTTCTGAAACACAGCATACATCAATGGCTCGTGATGCCAGGGTCTTGGCTAGTGATGCTTGTTGTCCTATTTGGCAAAGTGTCCTAACATTAAAAGCTCCTATATGAAATTGGTGGCGCGGCTTTAAGAGGCTGTCGGTGGTGGTTTTTTGGCTTCCATCGTTTTTAGTGGACGCAGAGTGGAGAGGAAGTGGAGAGCTATCAAGTCGAGGAGTTGCATCAGTGGAAGGAAGGCAAGATGATAGAGATGAAGATGAAGACAAAGATGAGTGAGTAATAGAGAGGTTTCGCGTGCATTTCGGATTGTGAGGGCGATTGTTACTTCCCGGCTGCCCACACCGTGGAAGTTGGTTGCGTGACCGCAGAGCCCAGGGGACAACTGCTTGAGGCCGGTCACACGCGGCCTGTTTTTGTTCGTTCTTTTTTGTTTGGTGTGTCTCAGTAGCAGATTTATCACTCCTGCCCTGTGACACGGCAGCAGGAAGCGCGGTCGTTGTTAATCCGGGCCACGGCCGATCCGGCATGAAATTTTGTGATTTTGTATTGGTCATGATGTTGGATTGGGTAGCTGCTTTTTGTTTAACCGCTATCCAAACAACCTGCCTGGCATGGTAGGACCTCAAGAGACATAAGTCTCAGCCAGTATAGCTTGAATAGATCATTGCGGTGTTCAAGCCCGACCACCACGTCAAGGTAGCAGCTTTCGGTCGGGACAGGCTAAAAGTAAGAGTACTTGGATCGGAACACTTTTGTTAGGTTTTGAAAACTATTTCATCATAACTGTACAAAAAAAGCCGATTTCATGAATGACATGTGAAATCTCTGAACCACTATATTCATGTAGACAGTATCAGTGTAGAAAATGGTAACGCTACTCCCCATTTTTATAAAAAGTACGATGTAAAAAGAACGAAATAGAACAGTCAAAGGAGTACATTATAGAACAATATAAAGATGAGATGAACAAGACATGCTGATCGCAATGCATTTTTGACACCATATGTTCTAATATTTACTCAGACCTTAGCCAAATAATCTTCACTCCAATATAAGGTTCAAGGAAAAAGTTTGATACGTGGAATGGTGTTATGTTATCCCAAGAAAGCAGTGAAATGGTATACATAACAAGGATTACAGCTACTTTCAGTCGATGATGGCTTGCAATGTCACTCAATGGATTACCTGCCTTCTACATCATTATATTTAACCGTAATATCACTTATCATACTTTCCTGCCTAACATCGACAACTGAAAGAAGGCATTTGTGATTAAGAGCTTATAATTTGTTTATATCCTTTCCTTCAAACGATCATCCCACAGTCGTAAATGAAAGCAGAGGGAACCACTATACTCAAAAAATTTTAATAGATAGTCTGGTTGTCTCACCAGTGCCAAGGATGCTTTCGAATTTGTGCTGAATTTATGTTAGAGACCGGTTCATTAGGCCAAAACGAACATGCATAATAACAGTTTAATGCAATTTTATAATTACTGCTACTATAAAAGAGGACACTGGGCTAAAAAGGAGTCCTTCTACACCTAGGTTTTGGTTATAGATGCCAGTTTATGACTTCCGCAAAGCTTTTCTTAAGTCAAGATGTGTTTTTAAAGGTGAAGTCAGTGTTTATACACTTTTGCCCTAACTCAACAAATCTTGACGAAAGCAGAACTAAAATAAATCTGTTTTGCGTGTGATACTAAATTAACATGGAAAAATTCAATGTATGAACATACAAGTTCTAAAAAATATGTTTTTCATGACAGTGTTGAACAGACTTTAACAGTACTTGAGAAATGGAGGTCGCTGGTCTTGCCATCTGCAACACATTATGCTATAACACAAACACGTCTTACCATTATTCAGTATCCTGTGGTGGTTTGTAGTGTCCAACTCAGTTAAATGTGTTACCTGGAATAAATTTTATAGGGCAATGTTACGCTATTACTCAGTCTTTAAGAAGAAAAAACTGCATCGTACCTGCCGATGCATCCACTAAAACAGCATGATATGTGCATATATATACATATATATTGTGCAACCTCATTTACCTAGAATTCAAGATGTACTTCCAACTTTGTGAGTAGCAATAAAATAAAGTCACTGCACCTGCTTATTAAAATCACTTATAACTTTAGAAATAAATTTCTTTTGGCATAGAGAACTAGTGTGGGGATTGCTTGGTATTAGATACAGAGAAGCATTCAATATTGACGGTACACAAAACCTATAAGTTAGGTTAGCGCTAATTTTAGCAGGTTTTACAATTGCATTTATAATTACACATATTTTGATAAATTAACTCACTTTCAATCACAAGAATTGATGTATTAAAGACTAATTAGAGGAAATGAATGTTTATAAAATACCGTGCATGAATGTGAATAAACTTTAGGACTGGTTTTTTCTGTATGACAGGCTTTATGGCAGAATGATAACACCAAGAATAAGAAGCAGTATAGGTCATACAAAAAGTAGTTTGTATAGCCTTAATTGTGCATTGTAAGAATAAAAATACCCAACAAGAAAACATTTTTGTGAAGTCACTACTTAAATGAATATTAAGTTTTCGAATATTGCCAGGACGACAAGAAATTGGTGTGGTGACAGCTGAGTACTGCAGCTTCTGAATATGTACAAAATAAAATCCTAATATAATCTAAATGTATTTTTATAAAAGACTGCGAAGTGTTTTTAAGTTGAAAAGCAGTCCCACGTAAATGATACCGGAGAATTAGGATATCAGAAGGTGCATGCGAGTAATTACCAAGTAGTGATATCTGTTAACGATTATTAGAAAATTTACTAATACATCAGTACCATAATTATACAGGTATTATTTTCTGATATTTGGGGGCAAACGAGGTAAGTATCACACATCCTAAGCTATAAATTCGAATGAAATGTGGTATTTCAGTCAGCCCCTGATTTGAACAAGTATACTCTGCATGGCAAAATTATCACAATTTTCAACACACTACCAGAAATTAACGTTACCTCATAAATAAATGAGTCTCCACTTGAGGATGGGGGAGCGCTCATACGAAGGACACACGTGGTGAAAGTTTCAGACTTTTCAAAAGATATGATGCCATTAAGTATATAACAAAGGGCGCAGCATCACCATATGAATCCATAAGATTCTGTCTTTACCGCAGCAGGCGACCTTGAGGTTGTTCAATATTCAGTGTCAATAAACAGGAAATCGTAACTTTTTCAGATTTAGATGATGAAAAGAAAGACGCCACACTGACCAGCGGTAAAAATAGCATTATTTACGTCTTCAGAGACCTTATTTATACTTGAATGTGTTCTTTGGTAGGGCTGATACCATGTGATCGGGTAGGGGTTTCTAGATCTTGACCACTCTGCTTGTGAATTTTAATTCCACACGCATTTATTTCCCCCATGATTTGAGCATCTTCCTGTGATTATATCTCAAGGAAAGCCCTGAGGTAAAACAACGGTCAATTCCTGCCGTTTATACTTTCCCAGACACATGCCTCTTTCCCGAAACACTGCTTAACTTTGCAATATCCTACATGAGGCCTGGAATGCTGCGCAGGATACCCTGACATTTTGTCTTCTACCCAGGAGGTACTCTTTAAACCTCCCACATAAGCATCTTTCTGATCGAAAACAGTTAGGTTCACTGGGGAAGACAAAATGTGTCTCACAGAACTCTTTACTGATAAAAGCGACGATAAACAATAGGTTTTCATCCCTGACACTTACCCTATCTTCCTCAGACAATATAAAATGAGTAAACACGATCTTTCTGGTCAGAACCTATGGTATTCCTCGGCCTGTAATCTATTCCTGATCCCTTATAAATGTTTCCGGTACCTTTGCTACAATGAATATCAAACTTACAAGATGGCAGTTGGACACTGATCACCTGTTCTCTTATTTGGAGATAGGTGCTATTATTTCACACCTACCAGTCGCTTAGTAGCATCGCTCGGGACAGAGGCATTTTGCAAATCTCCACAGGTAATAAGTGGATTATATCCGCCAAAGAAGTTAACAGTCTGAGATTAATTATTTTTTACGCATAGATGACTCTTCTGGTTTCAGCCAAGATAGTAGTTTAGGGACTGCTACGCCAATCACTTATGCAGGATTTTGATTTAGGTGGCAGTGAACTCGCTATACTTTTGGATGATACGATCAGACGAGAAAACACAAATAATTTTAGTTTTACTTTTAATATACGGGTACAGTCTTCTGGGACAATTTACCCATTCAAATACCAAATGCCTTTCATTTTCTGAACAACTTTAATCAGCCTCAAGGAAAGGCTTCGAAAACAGCCTGTTCGAAAGTTCTTCCTTTCTTTAAAGCTAATCAGTTCCAAAAGCTTTTACGCTCTCTTAAATACCCCCTTATTTCATTTCTTAACCAGGATGATTTATCCGATAGCTTTTTAGAGGGAAATCATTGTACAAGCAGTGAACTAAAACAGTCTAATGAATTCCTGTATACACCCCAAGTTTTCTCGAAAATTCTATTTGTATTAACTGATGCATCTGCTTTCTGAGTGTTTCGACTAGTGTTGCCGAACTAGGTATGACATCATGAATCTGAAGTGTAAAAGTAACGACTACATAGCGACAACTGCTTAGCCGGTTTTGGAATGTATGGTCCCCGACATTCTAATTCTGGTGTGTTAGCACGAAGTCTACATTTGAGGTCGTATTGTGTTGGTATACGCACACGCTGCAAAATGAGTATTAGACAGCTGTCAGTGTAAGTTCTTCGCTGAAACAGGTAGTCAATCCAGTTAATGTTAATTCCTCCTATGAAACATTCGCTTGCCATAAATCGATGTATTTTGAGTCTTGAAACAAGGTAATGGGATTTCGCCACTAACTTCTCGTAGATCACAGTATGGATATCCCCCACACTGATGCCGAAAAAGAACAGCAGAATAACGGAAAGAAGCTTATAACATCAATACTTCACAAACTACCTTTGTGAAATTACAATTCCAAGAAAGGTTTCCACCGTCTCACACGTCCAATTTAATATTTTCAGATCCGACATTTCTTTGCTATAGAAACAAGTTTGTGTACTCTTAATGAATTCTATCTCTCCGCTCTTGGCTCTTGAGTTCATCGGAATTTTCCAATCTGAAGACCACTCAAGCAGTCTTAAACTGAGGACCATCGCACTTTTAGACTCTGAGGTTGTTGCTGTTCGCGGATAGTATAATATATGCTACCTCAAGATGTGATACCCTTAACTTCAAAATTATTTGTTTCGCGTATGCCAGAGGCAAAGTAAAACACCAGACTGACTGTCCGAAATACGAAATATACTACGGGACCAAAATCGCAGTGCGAAGATGATTGCTTAACCAACTAGGGTCCGTGGATGGGCAAACGAACGTAACACAACAGCATGGCTTCAGCTGAAGAAGTCGACTTAAACAGTAAATGTCAGCATCCAGTGTTGAGTTATGCTCATGAACCTGTGTGTCTGCTATAGATAAGCCGAGTCCTGTTGAATCTGGGAAGAACTTCGTCATAAATTATGGACTATACCGATATTCCAAAAAAATATATTACACCTTTGTATTTCACAAATTTTAGAAACTTCAAGAAACTAAAAGTACGTGTTTATTATCAACGCGATTCATGGCCTCCGGAGTAAAAATATTCTGCTGATTACTTTCCGAATATTTATTTTCCTAACGGCTTTCCTATGGTGACCAGTCAGTCTATAAAATAAAACATTGTTGCTTCATAGTTATTTATCAAGTTGGCGAACTGCCTGATTAGTTTTGGATAACGTTTGGTGCTGCTGGAATTCTTTTCATTAAGACCTCATTCTTCGGAACCTTATTCAGGTTCAGGTGTCGCAACTAACGGTATTTGGAGGAAATATATATGCGGGAGTTGACCACCGAACCACTGTTAACCATGTCAAGCAGACTTTATCACATTCCATCAATCAGCATGACCTTACCTTGCCAATTGTGATTGTTGGTTATTATAATCCCAACTCCTACTACCGGCGGTCGACCTTCAAATAGTATTGCATTCTGTTTCGTGTGTGTCATCCACTAATCAATCGGTTCCAAAAATCGGTACTGAAGGACAGTTGCTTTTGTAATGTTATCGCTGCGTAATTTTATTATTTCCCCTGTATTTTAGGAACAAGCAAATTTTAAGTATTTTCGGGAAAAATTTCGGGGTGCCTTGATGGAAATCTGGGTTCCTCCGAAAGAAAATTTAAGGGGTGTTTCGGGCGAATTTTAGGGTATTACGGGGTTTTCGAGGGATATTCGCTGATTTCAGGCATTTCCGCAAAATGTCTCCAAAATTTTTAATTTTCTAGAGTCAGAAAGCAGTGATGAAGCTTATGTGACTACAATTGATGAGTCTTTAGAGGCTGACGCCAATGACGTTCGCGAACTGTACGGAGTATACTAACGCGAGATCTTATAGCAACAACTTCTATAGTATTCGTTTCGCGTGTACTAAAGGCAAAGCAAAAGACACGACTGATCGTCCAAATTACGAGATATATTTCGGAACCAAATCGTGGACTGAAGCGGAAGCTAAGCTGGCTGGTGATTGTGCGCGAAAGTGACATGACGGGATACCAAATGGCGGGGATGCTTGACCGAAAGCCTTCAGCTAAACACATCGACTTAAACTCTAAGGGATAGCATCTAATGTTCACTAATGATTCTTACGGTCGATAATTTTGGGGAGTTACTTACCGCTACAGCTCACTCCCCTTAAGTGAGGTTGTGAGGACCCTAAGATAGAGCCAGTCGGAAGTAAGAAAAACTCGATGGTTCCCTTTCGGGTGAAAAAAATCTTCCTAGCGGTTAGGTGGCCTGCCTACTGGTCTGTATGGCTATGCTAATAGGGTGTTTGTACATTGCTTCCTTGATTTTGCTCGTTGAATCTCATACTTCGTTTGTTTCTTGTCCAGTGCCCATCGCACCTGGAAAATAAAACGAGAATGCTAAGAACCAAATCTGCGTTTTTTTTAAAAATTATGTGCATATAGCATACAGTAAAATAATGCAAAGTTTAGAACATCGAAAAAGTTTACATCTAAATTGTTTTTGTGCATGTAACATGTACTGTTAAAGAAAAAAATTTTCTTCTGTTAAGTGATACAGTATGAAAAAAATTGATGCGTTTGAAAAGAAAAAATAATTAATACCACGAACGAATGAGTTGGGTGAATCACACCACTTAGTTATATGATATAATTGTGAAGATATTCTGGGAATCATATGGCACGTCCAGAGCACGTTTTCTTCGAGGGCTCGACAGAAGGTTCGGTGGCTTTCTCAGTGCTAGTGACCTATTCGAGGACTAAAGGATATTCGATTACTTGTGGACTGTTGGGTACGCTCAGCTCTAGGCTGATAGGATTACCTTTCAAGTAAGCTGGATTCAGACGGCCGATGCTGACGTTGTCTTCGCGGCCTTTTTGTCTAAGACAAAGAATTTATCCATACGTCTATTTACTTTAAATGGCCCATCACATAGGGGTTCCAGATGTCGATGCACAGAGTCACGATGAACAAATACATGTGAAGAAGTTTATAAACACGGTAGAGGTTTCTTCACTAGATAACTCTACTCAGGTTATTATGTCAAAGGCGTGGACAATTAAGGAATTGCCCCAATTATGAAGTGCTTCACTGAAAAAAGATCAGATGTCATCGTGGAGACACTTACATGGCAGGAGTCAGAATGCTTATTGGCTGTAAAGTTTCAGAGGTACATATAACGATTGATGAAAGGTTCGATGGAGCTAATTGACCTCGCGTCAGAAAAGCTCACATTGAATGGACTTTACTGGGACGATGCAGTGAGGCCCTCGGAGGAACTAATTTGGTGAATTATACTTTATCTAAACAGAAATGCAGGTCATATTTTGATAGTTTTATATGAGTGGGTTTTATAACACGAGTAGTCATGTTTCCAGGTCTGTCGAAGACCGCAGAGTTCTCAGTATCATGTTTGAATCCAAAGAGAAGGTGGGTAGAAGTTATCAAATTGCACATGGCG